GGGGTGTGCGTCACTCAGATGCCTGGACAGGCGCAGACGGCAGAGAGAGCAGTAACTTTGTGGGACAGTGCCAAACTTCTTGTGCCTCCACAAAGAGCTCAGGCCCCAGCAGAGATCAGCTGAGCACCTCAGGGAGGTGTGGGAGGGTGGCCTGGGAGGAGGGGATAGGGTTGACACAGGTCACGGATTCTGTCTGGTTTCTCTGAGCAGGGTGTGGTCCAGCCCTCCTTTCTGGCAGAACTTGCCTGCATAGGCGAGGTCTGAGTCAGCCATGCCCATCCTGCCGCAGCAACTCTGGGCTGGGAGGTGGCGGGCTGGTGGGTGGGGGCAGGAGGAAACGTCAGCTCGTGCCTCTGGGCCAGAAGCCAGGAAGAAGGTCCCGAGTGAGGTGGGTTTAGAATACGCCGGAGAGGAGCCCCTTGCAGTCCCACTTGAACCTCAAGGGGAGTAGTGCCGACAGTCTCCCAGAGGTCAGATTTGGAGTCAGCATGCTGACCCCTAAAAGGGGTCCTCCCTCTCCCGTTACGAGACTGGGGGTGCCAGGAGAGGCGTGCCAAGGCCAGTGGAACTGAGATGGAGCTGGAAGGAACAAGCCCTGCCAGGGGGTAGAGTGGAGAGTGACATGCCCAGCCTGTAGTCTCAGAGATGGGACCCTGAGCTCCAGTCAGGGGCCAGCTGGCTTCTTCCAGACTCTCACATAGGTGTTGGCATAAGACCTGAATGGCTTCACTGGCCAGCACATGCCACACCCACGCCCAGCTGTGGTCTGTGGGTACTCTCAGAGAGAATCTCAGCCCAGGATCTCCTTGCCCACTCAAGGAGTTCCCTGAAAGAAGAGATCCAGGGGTCCTGATCCCTGCCCTGTGCAGGGCTGTGGGGCGCTCAGAGGGCGGCTTTCAGCACCGGCTCCCTCGTCCTAGACGTTCGGAAGCCCCCCAGCAACAGCGATAGGCTCTCAGGACAAGGTCCTTGCTCTGTCTACTTCCCAAGAAGGAACGCACGTTGCGCGGGAGACTGCGGCGGGCCGCGGGACCGCAGCCCGGGTGGACGCCGGGCTCCTGAGAGCATCGCCCACTGAAAGGGTGTGGAGCCGGGCGGCCCGTACTAATGACAGGGCGCTCGGCCTGCGGGTGGCGGCTGCGAAGGAAGCCGGAGGGATCTGGCTATTTCTGGCCGGGGCGCGCCTCCCGGCCTGGCGGCTGCCTGCCCCAGAAGAGGCGGAGAGAGGCACGGGTTGGTGGGCCGGGGGAAGGCGGAAGGCGGGGCGGGAGCGGGCCCACCCCCGGTCTCCTTTGGCCGCCGCCCGCTCGGGCCCCTCTGCGGCGCACGCACCGGGAGGACTCGGACCCGGGCCCCGTCGCCGCTCCCGGGAGTCCCGCGGCGACCAAGCCGCCGCGCCGCCGTTGGCATGGACTCGGGCCAGGACTTCCTGACCCTACACGGTGAGTGCTTGGCGGATGCTAGCCGAAGTCCCTGCCTGCCCGGGTCCAGGCCGGCTGAGCCGATCAGGGCGTGGGGCATGGAGATCCTCTCCCCGGGCCCGGGTCTCCGCCGCTCTGCGGGACTTGGGGCACTCTGAGCCCGCAGCTTCCTAGAGTGGGAAGACTGCGGGGCGCTGGGCGTTTCTAGTCTGGCCCGCGCGCTGGGGTGAGCCTGGAGACCTCCGCAGACCCTTAGCTGTGGGCTTCCCTTTCTCCAAGCGGGACCAGGTCCTGCGGTGTGGCTCGCATCCGGGGGAGCTTCGGAGGGAGCGAGGGTGGAAACAATCGGCGATCGCCCATGCTCTCCCCACTCCGGCCGGGCAGCCCCCGTGGGTCCTGAAGACCACCGGCTGCCTGGAGCGCCTCGGGGGGTGCGGGTGTGGCGCGACGGAGAGGTGTGCGAGGCCGGCCTAGGTCGCACGGTGCGGCGTGCGCCTCCGTTCCAGGTTCCACGCTCGCGCCGCCGGCTGCGCCGCCTTTTGTCCGGCGAGCTTTGTCTTGGCGGATCCTGGCCAGTTCCTTGCTCTGCCCCACTGGCTGCGGAGCGTGGATGCTCACTGGAGCCTGAGAGTCCGCAGAGTCAGCCTAGGGGACTTCCTGCTCCTCGCTGTCCCCAGGCTATCTGCCAGATCCACAAATCCTGCGTGCCTCGATTTCCTGGCAGGCTAGAGACCCCAGAGCCCACCAAGATGACTGTGAACCACCCACCAAGATGACTCCACCATAGTTCCCCGCCCCTCCTACAAAAAGGAGTTGCCCGTAGTAGTAGTCCTTGTCAGTCAAAGCTGTCTTGTTTCCTAGTTGACCCAGCCCTGGTCCTCACTGCCTAGCCAGCCGTTGCTCAGTGCACTAGTGTTAACTTTACACCAGGATCCTACTTCCTGAAACCCACCTTGTGCAGCTGGGTCATGGGATTCCTGCTCTCTCTGGGTTCCCTCTGGTCTCCTGGGGCCACAAAAAGGCCCACCAAGCCATGGGGGGGGGGGGTCACCTTCATGGACAGGTGGAAGGGGGCCCACCTTGGTGTTCCTGCTTTTGTCCAGTCTCTCTCCTGGGGAAACTCTGGTGTCCGCTGGGAGAGCGAGGCACGCAGGGGCCAATGCCTCGCCCCCTCCAACCCTGTCTGCAGCAGGGGGGAGAGCTACTTGTAGCTCATCCTACATGCTGTTCTCTCCATCAGCTTGTCTCCACTGCAAGCCAATGGGGGATACAAAAACCTGGCAGGGGAGAGGAGCAGGGAGAATCTGTACCCTTCCCAGCCTAGCTGACTTGGGAGTGAGGGGATCTGCTCCAGGAATGCTCCTCTGGGGTCCCCCCCACCCCATTTGCCAGGAAGCTATGGGTTCTCCTGGATAGATATTACCCCCTTGCCCCCGAGCATGCAGAGGCAGTGTGGAGTGCAAGTATTCACTCGGAAAAATGAGGACTAGAGCTCATATCTGCAGCTTTTCTGCTGTGCCTCAGTTTCCTCATCAGGCTGCCATGAGGACTGGATGAAGGGATGCTTGCAAGAGGGTGAGCCAGCACCTGAAGCCCCTTATGGGCTGTGTTCCTACAGGAGGCCCTCTCCTGGTGGCTGTGCCCTGAACACCCTGGGTCCAGAGAAGCTGACACTGGGGTCAGATTGAGCTCAGGAGCCGTGGGGACTCTTCATGCCTGGGGAGCCCCAGGCTGCTGCTGCTCTGATCCCCGTCCTGCCTCCCTAAGCCCTCATCCTCCACTCTCCACTTGGGCTTGGCCTGAGCTGGCATCTGCAGAGGGTTCCTGGCTGTGTCATGTTCCAAAGCCCCCCCTCCAGCCCCTACCAGGGCACATGTGCACACACCCATCCCCTGCTGCTAGAACTGGCATTTGTAAAAGTGGAAGGCAGAGGTGCTTCCTGGAAACTAGGGCTGCAATCCAAGCTTTGCGTCTGCTTGCTTTTGTACTTTCTCAGCACAAAGATGCTGTGCGGAGAACTCACAGGTGGGCTGCTCAGGAAGAGATGATGGTTCCAGGCTATCACCTACCTGTGATGTCCCAGGCTCAGATGACACCCACTCTGGTGTTGGCTGTTCTGTGCCACTTCGGTCACCCGGCAGTGCCTGTGGGCTACCTTGGGGCTGTATTTTTGTTTTGTTTTGTTCTTAAAGATTTATTTATTCACTTATTTATTTATTATTACAAAGTCAGGTATACAGAGAGGAGGAGAGACAGAGAGGAAGATCTTCCATCCCCAAGTGACTCCAATGGCTAGTGCTGCGCCGATCCGAAGCCGGGAACCAGGAACCTCTTCCAGGTCTCGCATGCGGGTGCAGGATCCCAAAGCTTTGGGCTGTCCTCGATTGCTTTCCCAGGCCACAAGCAGGGAGCTGGATGGGAAGTGGAGCTGCCGGGATTAGAACCGGCGCCCTTATGGGATTCCCAGCGCATTTAAGGCCAGGACTTGAGCTGCTAGGCCATGCTGCTGGGCCCGGGGGTTTTTTTGAATGCTTCAAGCCTGTAAGAATTCAAAGGAAGCAGGTCACAGGGAGACACCAGGTGTGGCTCCTCTCCATTCTGCTGTCCCCTTCCCAAGAGTAAAACAGCTTTTCCTGGGCCTGCCATCAGTCCCCATACCTGGTCCCCAGCTTCTGCTCTGGGGTGGGCTGGGAAGCAGGTCACCCTACACTTACTTCTGTGTGTTGACATTATTGCTGTGCTTGACTGGCGCTGCCAAAAACTGGTGCTTGCCAATGAGTCACTCGGCTGGTTTTGGGGCTGCTGCAGAGCGGTCCCCGCCCAGCCAGGGAGAGAGAGGGGTGAGTCAGGCCTTTCTGGCTAGGTCCTGACCTTGGCCAGCAGGAGAGGCTCCGTGAATAGCAACTACTGTCCAGCAAGTTGGACAAGCTGTAGTGTTCATGAAGGAACCCACTGTTCCGCAGCCGCTGGCACGCAGCTTTATACAAAGTTGCAGTCGTCCTGGCGTCCCGCGCAAGCCTGCGGTTCAAGGGCTCCTTTTCAGATCCGCAGTTTCAAGAATGCCACGTGCGCCGGGTACCTGGGGGATTACCCGCTGGGAGGGGAGGGGCGGTGAAACTAAAGGAAGGAAGCCTCGGACGGAGCCCCACACCCCAGCACGAACCAGCCCGGCTGCGCCACGCTCCGATGCGCCCGCACAGCTGCGGCCTGGGTGGGTGGCTCCCACCCGTCGCGGCTGAAAGGCCAGGCGCGGATCCTCCCCGTCCCGCCCCCAGGGGCAGTGGCACCGCCCCTGCCTCCTTCCTGGGTGTGGTTGTGCCCCCTGTCACCACCCCTGCCTGACTCCGCCCCCGCAGCCAGCTTTCTGGTTTCTGCCACGGAACTGTTTCCTGGCTGTGGCTTTGCTCCGCTCCGCCCCTTGGCTCGGCCGCGCCTCCCAGCCTCTCCAGGGCTCTCTCCGCCTCCTAGGACCTGGGTCCACCCCTTTGGGCTCAGATTTCCCCCGCGGCCCTGCCCCTCTGGGCAGGCCGGGCCCTCCTCTGGAGTGCTGGTTCCACCCTCCACGCCTGAACTCCAGGAGGCTCCGTCCCAGGGCCGGCCAGGCTCCTTGAACCAGCAGCGTGGAGGCAGCACGAGTGTGCGGAGCGCCATGCAGTGCTTGGGGGTCCCGAACCGGAGCCGCAGCCGCAGGCGCACCAGGGATCTTTATCTTCAGGAGCAGAGCCTCAAAGTTGCGCTGCAGAATGGGCGGAGGCTGGGTAAGAGACGCAACTGGGGCTCGCGAGCGAGGTCTGCTGGAACGGCCAGGCAGCTGGAACAGGGCGAACTGTCCGGGGGGCCTCTGACCTGAGGGAGGCACCTGTGTGTTTTGGGGGATGGGGGTGCTGGATCTACAGAGGTGGCAGGTGGAGACCACTCCTCTGCTCCTGACATACGTCAGCCATCCCCGACCCCACAGATCTATCAGCTACTTGTTCCTTTAAGTCCTCCTGTGAATATCTTTCCAAGAACACTGGCTGGCTGACGTGGATCTGGGATGCTGTGCCTGTGACAGGTGTGACAACAGGTGGCTGAGTGACAATGGCGATTGTCACACTGCACCAGGGGTGGTGTGTGACTTTGTGGGTGGAGGGCGCTACCACCCATTGACAGAGTGAGCCAGTGCACACCTGTGCAACTGTGATTGTGTGTGGCAGTGGTGGCCCAGAGTGGCTGAGTGTGTCATTCTTTATTGTGACAAGTGCGTGTCGTGTGGGTTGGTTAATGTTGTGACTTGGTGACCGTGCACCTGTTGCAGGTCACTAGGTAGACATCAGCCTGTGTGTTTAAAGAAGGGGCAAGGAAAATGAGAATTTCTGTGTGCTGGAATGAGGAAGATAGGGCAGTGAGCCTGGGTCCAGCAGCAGGTGGGTCCCAGTCCGCTCCCTAGAGGCAGCTCTTGGGGAATCTCCCACCAGGCACCAAGGGGGCTAGCAGGTGCCTTCCCACCGTGTGGAAGGAATTCTGGGAAGAATTCCAGGAATTCCTTACCCAGGAAGCCCTCCTCCCAGAAAGAGCAGGTGAAGGAGATGCTGGGGTCCATTGCTGAGTCCATCGGAGCAGCAGTTGGGCTGCAGACTGGACTCTCTGGTTTGGCCAAGCTGCCCCGCCTGGGCTAGCAGGTGTATCCTTTCTTGCGTGAAGACAAGGATCTCTGTCCCATCAACCATGTTGGGTCTGAGTCCCTGCGAGGTAGGACTGCTTCCCAGCACTGGCCCTGAGGGCAGGCGGCTGCCTCTGAATCCTGACCCTGCCCGACAACTTCCTGCAGCCTCAGTTTCCTTGTTTGTGAGATGGAAATAATGACAGTCCCTGGGGGATTAAGTATATGTGCTAAACACGGGGAACCTATGCCAGCATTAACCATGACTGTGGTGGCGGCTGTCATCGAGGTGATGAGGATGCAAGCTGAGTGTGACCGCTTGGCTGTGGGACACTGAGAGTGGACCTTGTGAGCAGGACTCCAGGACAACTCCCCCCCACACAGCATCCGCCTGCTGGCCTCAGGGTCAGCCAGGCAGGAATTGGAGCTCTAAACTCCAGCACCTCCCTTCCCCAGGAGTGCCTCAGGTCAGTGTGTGGAAGCCACAGGAGACAAAGGGGGACCTGGCCAGGGTTTTCCTGGTAGCTCCACTTGCAGGGGAGGGGAAGAGGGAGCTGAGGTCCACTTCCCGAAGCCGCTGGGGGCTTATCTCTGCTGGCTAAAGACAGGACAGGATAAGCCTGTCAGCTCTCTGGGGGTGTTTTCCAGAGCCCGAGGGCGGGTGGAGCGAGGGGAGGAGGTGATGGCAGCGGGCATCTCGCTGTGCGGGCATCTCGCTGTGCTGGCCGTGCCGCTCCCCGCTTGGCTCAGATTTAGCAAGGGCAGTAAAATCCCCCAACAAGGAGGCCTTCACCTGCCCTCCCTCTGAGGGCCTTGGGACCTTGTGTGAGAGCCCCTTCTCTCCAGCAGGCCTCCCCTTGGGCACAGAGTGTCCCTGGAAAGTGGGTGAACAGACCTGGCACGAGGAAGGAGCCGGTCTTCGATGGCTCCTCGATGCAGTCCCATCCCCCTCAGGGCTGCAGGGCCATGGGGCACACCAAGAGGGAAGAGAATCTTGGGGCTGGCTGTATGTAAGCCGCAGGCAGGGGTGGGGGGCGGGAGAGACAGGAACTTTGAGGAAAGGATCTGGAAAGTTCCCTAGGCCCAGAAGATGGGTGGGGGCATGGTCACAGCAGGAATGGCCATCTGAGACTGGAATTCTGGCCTGGGAGAGAAGAGGCCTGTGGCTTGCTGAGGGGTTCTGGCAGACTGGACCCTCGGAGGTCCCACCTCTGTTTCCGGAGCAGCAGAACACCGATGTGTTGGTGGGCCCTAGGCAATGCCCCCCAGGGGGACAGAAGTGTGGCCTGTGGCTGCCTGCTGGACTGTTCAAGCCTTTGCAGAGGTGTTGGTCTGTATTGCACCAGTGGGTTACAGCAGGGCATGGACAGGGTGGAAGGACACAGAGCATTATCCCTTTGGGAGCCCGTGGCTCAAGCAGTTGAGGGTCTCAGAGCAAGCAGCCAAGAGCAGGGCAGCAAAGGAGCTGGTGCCAGGGTTCCTGTGCGCTGGACTGGGCCGAGCCTCAGAAAGGGCTGCACTGTGCCCCAAGGGGTCCCTTGGATAGGTCCGGAACACAGAGTAGGCCATGTTTTCCCAGCAGGTCCATAGCAGGCTGCAATGGGAGGGACATTCAGACATGGGGTGGGCCCTAGTACCCTGGTAAGCCAATCACAGGCTGAAGTGGGCGGGGCACTCAAGGTGGGGCGGGCAATGGTATCCCAGTTGGCCAATCACAGGCTGCAGTTGGTGTCACCCGGAAAGACACAGGGTGAGCCACAGGTGTGAGTGGTGCAGGGCAGGAACAAGGGTCCCAGCTCTGTGGACCCCCAAGAAACACAGCTGCCATCCCCCAGGACCCCCCAGATCACACATCATCTTATTCACCTTAGACCCTCCCTTTTGGAGGTGGGTATTATCTTTTTTTTTTTTTAAGATTTATTACTTATTTTTATTGGAAAGTCAGATATACAGAAAGGAGGAGAGACAGAGAGGAAGATCTTCTGTCCGCTGGTTCACTCCCCAAGTGGCTGCAACGGCCAGAGCTTAGCCAATCCGAAGCCAGGAGTCAGGAGCTCTTCTGGGTCTCCAACGCGGGTGCAGGGTCCCAAGGCTTTGGGTCATTGTCCACTGCTTTCCCAGGCCACAGGCATGGAGCTGGATGGGAAGTGGAACTGCTGGGACACAATTGGTGTCCATATGGGATCCTGGAGCATTCAAGGCAAGGACTTTAGCCACTAGGCTACTGCACCAGGCCGATGGGTGCCATTATTAACCCCATTGTTTCAGCTGGGAAAGCAGAGGCCTAAGGAGTTGACTTTGCAGATGGACAGTGTGCCTTGCTGCCTCAACTGTCCATCAGAGGCAAATGTCTGGAGGAGATAGGTTTTTGGGGCAGCAGGGACAGGGTTGGAGTAGGTGACTGGAGTCTGACTTGCTGTCATCGCCAGGTCTACAAGATGACCAAGACCTGCAGGCCCTGCTGAAGGGCAGCCAGCTCCTGAAGGTCAAGTCCAGTTCATGGCGGAGAGAGCGCTTCTACAAGCTGCAGGAAGACTGCAAGACCATCTGGCAGGAGTCCCGCAAGGTCATGAGGTCCCCAGAGTCGCAGCTGTGTGAGTGCTTTGGGGGTCCCAGGGGAGGATGGGGGTACAGGCTGAGGAATGGACCCAGACCACAGGTGGGGAAACTGAGGACTGACCTGGAGGGACATAGGCCATTCATGCCATGGAGGCCACAAGTGCACAGACACTCACCTGTTGGGAGCTGGAGGCCTCATCTGGGGCAAAGACGCAAGCCTTGAACATGAGTCAAGAGGAGTGATTTTGGGGGGTGGGCTCCTGGGAAGGGCCAGCCGGGCTCAGCAGCAGGAAAGTCGCTGGCTAGCGTCGCCTGAGCTCACAGCTGCCCACTCAGGCAATTGCAGCAAGCAGGAGGGAAGCTGAGTGGGTTAGAATTCTGGGTGTGGTGAGGCCAAAAGCCAGGCCCAAAGTCCAGAGGCAGACAACTGTTGCAGGTGTCATTGGCCCAGTAGGAGGCGGAGCAAGGCTGGGACACCCAGAGAGAGAGAGACGGTGCGAGGCCTCCTGCAGGCACCTGCCACAGGGTCCTAGGGCCAGCTCTGCTGACTTCTGTCTATAGAATGGGAGGCTGGCCTCTCCCCTTTACCTGGCAGGAATACTTCAGACCAGAGAACTCTGGGCAGTAATGCCAACGCTCTCATTTTTGCTGCTCAGTAAGGAAGCTAGCTGCCAACCACCCAGGGACAGTCCTCAAAAGGTGCCTGGGGTGATTGAGAAACATAACAAAATATCTGTTTACTTATTTGAAGGGGTTGAGCCATCTTCTTTCCCAAGTACATTAGCAGGAAGCCGGATCTAAAGTGTTACAGTCGGTCTATTCCAGGTGGTGGCTTTACCCGCTATGCCACAGGACTGACTCCAAGCAACTGAATGTTTAATATGACAGTGGCTTGTATTTCACACAGGCCAGGGCCCAGGGCCCTGGGCCCCGGGCTAGGGACTGGGAGGCCCAGTGTGCCCATAGGCAGGTCTGTGGCAGAGTGATAAGCCCCAGGCAGGAGGGCACCAGGAGAAAGGGGTGGGCTCACTCACTGAGGGTGACCCAAAGGAGTGTCCCTGGCCAGGCAGTACTTGTTGGCCTGTGGGCTGGAGGTGGGGTTGGTCAGGAGTAAGTAGGTCAAAGAGGCGGAGCATGGCAGGGGAGCTTGGGGCTGGGTAGGGGGTACTGTACCACTCAGCCTGTTGCTTCCCAGAGGGAACTGGCTTTGCCTCTGTGGCGCCAGGCTGGCTCCTTCACCAGGCTCCTGCCCTGATATGGCCTTTCCTGTCTGATGTTGGTGGGTGGGGGGAGATGGCGGGAATGGGGGAGTAGGTGACCTTATGCTCAGAGCAGGAAGGGGCTGAGCCCAGCCCCCACAGCACATGTGCATGAAGGGCGCCTAGCACGTGGGGTGAGAGACAGCTGAAAACGGCAGATCCGAGCCAGGGTGCAAGCCAAAACGCTTTCTGCCAGAGCTGCCCAGCATGTAAGAAGTAGAGCTCAGAGAGGCCTTCGTCCCCACCTCCACCCTCCCTCCCCGACAGCCGAGACTGGGCATGGCTGTGGGCTGTCCCCCGCCCCACCGGTCCTTTCCATGCCTGAGGAAGGTGTGGCGCATCCCCCACTCACAGCCGTGTTCCTTTCGGTTCTGCTTCCTGTCCCCTACTAGGTCCCCCACCCAGCCGGCCTGGCCACCACGCCTGCCCCTACAGCTCTGGTTCCCAGAGACACACAAAGTCGTTATCAGCCGTGGTGGCTGCGGTGGCGGTGGCGTCTGGACTTTCTCTCCTGGGGGTGGGGGCCCTGGCCCTGTGGGTAGGCGTGCATGTCTGTCTTCCTGTTTTCGTTCCCAGCCTGGTGTGGCTCAGAGGCCATGGACAAACACAGGGATTAGGCGAGGATATCGTGGGAACCCCAGATGGCCCGGCCTCACGTGTCCCCCATGCTCTGAGCCTGTGACCCGTGCTGGGCACACACCACACACGTGAGGCCCTGCGGGTGGGTGATGGGCTCAGAGAGACACAGGTGTACTCCCCCACCAGGGCTGCTCTGGGCCTGGGGGACAGTTGGAGGGGGACAGTTCTGAGAAGGGGAGGGGAAGGCAGGGCCAGGATCCTGTCCTTGAGATGCAAGGAATGGGGGAAGGGTGCACTGAGTGGCAGGGTGGGACTTGAGAGGAGAGGACGCACTGGATGGGGGCGGGCGGGGGCTCGTAAAGGGCAGAGTGATGTCATCTCAGACCCCTGCCTGCCTCTTGGGACCCTGGACAGCAGGGGAGACCTGTAGGCTCCCTGCCGAGGGGCTCCCTAGGGTGCAAATATAGATATACATACGGACGTGTGCACACACTTATACACAACATGGTGAGAGGCACACGGATGAGACATACAGGGTGACACAGACTGACACAGGTCACACATGGAGTGACACACATGGAGTGACACACAGGGTCTCTCACATACATACACGTGGAGTGACACATAGGGAGGGTTACACACACACACACACAGGGTCTCCCTCACACACACACACACACACATACACAAGAGACCATGTCGTGTGTGCAGCCCCCAAGCCTCTCCTGGTCTTGGGCTGTGAGCCCTGCCCTGCCCAGCCCTCCTCTGTCACCAGATGTCCCCCTGTTGATCTTCCAGTCACATCAGAGGTCTCATTCTAAACAGGATTGGGAGTCACACGCTGGAACAGGGCAGACAGGCTCTAGCTCACGTCCACCGGGTGGCAGGCAGAGACCCAGGGATGATTTGCCACCTCCGTACATGTCCTCTCTGCCCCCCACAGCTGCGTCACAAGCTCCCACCCACCCCGCTCTCTGCCTGCCTCTCTCCTTCATGCCCTACTGTCCCCCGCCCCCATCTGGCCTGCTGTTCCTCCACCTTGTCTCTGGACTCAGCGCCCGTGCACCAGCCTCGGCTCAGAGCCATGCTCGCTGTGACCACGGCCTCTCCCCCACAGTCTCCATCGAGGACATTCAGGAGGTGCGCCTGGGGCACCGCACCGAGGGCTTGGAGAAGTTTGCCCGTGATGTGCCCGAAGACCGCTGCTTCTCAATCATCTTCAAGGACCAGCGCAGTCCGCTCGACCTCATCGCCCCATCCCCCGCCGATGCCCAGCACTGGGTACAGGGGCTGCGCAAGATCATCCACCATTCGGGCTCCATGGACCAGCGGCAGAAGCTGCGGCAGTATCCTTCTCGGTGACCGTGGGACCAGCCCGGGCCTGCGGGTGCCAGCTGTGGTGGTCCCCCTGGGCAGCCTGGCTCTGCTGCCTGAGTCTCTTTGGCCTAGCCAAGGTGGCTTAAAGCTCAGAACTGAACACACTCACAGTTGTGAAGGCTGAAGTCCGAGTTCAGGGTGATGACAAGGTTGGGGGCTGCTGAGGCTCTTGCTTGCATAGCAGGAGCGAACAGGCGCTCTCTCTCTCTTTCTCTCTCTCTCTCTCTTAACAGAGAGAGATCTTCCATCCACTGGTTCATTCCCCGTATGACCACAATAGCTAGGGCCAGGCCAGGACCCAGAAACTCCAGGCAGGCGTTCACATGGGTAGCAGGGACTCAAGTACTTGAACCGTCTCCTGCTGCCTCCCAGCCTGCAGGTGAGTAGGAGCTGAAGGGACATCAGACTCATCCTAGGGGCATCCGGATGTGAGGCGGTTGCATCCCATGTGGCAGATTAACCCACTGCACCACAATACCCACCTACCTCTGATTACTTTTTTTTTTTTACTATTGTATTATTTATTTTTATATGAAAGGCAGAGTTACAGAGAGAAGAGAGACAGATCTTTCATGTATTGGTTCAGTCCCAATATGGCCTAGTGACCTGAGCTAACCTGATTTTTTTTTTTTTTTTTTTTTATAAACCCTAGTGCTGGGGACTGACTTTCAATAGATCTCAGCCAGGGAGCTGCTCTGCTACCTACGAAACCTCGACCCAGAAGCAGGTTGATTTAGTGCCAGGTTCCCCACGAACGTGTGTTGTGTGACGGGCTAGAATGCTGCCCCCTTTCTGGCTATGCCCTGTTTCCCAGGATGATGGATCCCAGTCCCGCCATGCAACGGGAGTGAGTCGCACACCGCTGAGACGGACGTGTGGTGTGGCCACCAGCAGGGATGCCGGGCACTGGCTAGCCAAGGCCAACCAAGGCTTGTTTGGCGCTGCCGTTTGGTTCTGCCTGGGCGGGATTCTGACTTAGAGGCGTTTGGTCATAATCCCACAGATGGTGGTTTTGCCCCATTGACTCCTCAGTAACCTTATTTGGAGATGGGAGCCAGGAGCTTCTTCCAGATCTCCCACGTGGGTGGAGAGGCTCAACTTGGATCAGCCTCAGCTACTTTCCCAGACACATTAGAAGGGAGCTGGATCCGAAGTAGAGCAGCAGGGACATGAACTGGCACCCATACGGGTACCGGTCCCGCAAGCAGAGGATTAATGTGCTATGCCATAGTGCCAGCCCCTGATCTGTCTCTTCAGCAAGGACACTAATCCCATTGGGGGAGCACCATACTCATGGCCTCGTCATTTAAATCCAGTTACCAGATTACAAGTTTGAAGGTCACACAATGCATTCCACAGCAGCCCAGGAGCAGGGACCGTGTGGGGCACCCTCTCTGGCCAGCCAGCCTCAGCATGCGGTTACTGGGTCAGGGAGGCTGAGGGGAGCCTGCTCCCTTGGGAGTCTTAGCCTGCCATGTTCCCACCTCGTTTTCTCTCCTTCTGGGAACAGGGAGACCGCTACCCCCTCCTGAACTGACGTTCTCGGAAGAACACACTGGTCCAACCTTGGGGGGTGTTAGGCCAGGTAATCTTCAACTTGGACTTGGGCACCACGGCAGCACATGAGTTAGAATGTTCAGGCTCCTAGTGGGCAGGGATTAGAGTGGAAGCACTCCCAGGTCCCCAGCTAACCGCAGCTTTACTGCAGTATTACTCACTCAGTGGACATCTAGCTTGGTCAAGTGTTGAGCAGGTGCAAAGCTTTCTAGCACATCCTAGGGCTGTGCACCTGTCAACACCATCAAGCTAAGCATATTTCCCTTTCTCCTTCCCTCCCTCTCTTCCTCCCTCCCTCTCTCTTTTCCTTCTGTTTCTTCCTTCTTCCCCTTTGCATTTTTTTTAAGATTTATTTGTTTTTCTTTGAAAGGTATATTTTTACAGAGAGAGGAGGAGAAATAGTTAGGTCTTCTACCAACTGGTTCACTCCCCGCATGGCCATAATGGCCAGAGCTGAACCAATCTAAAACCAGGAGCTTCTTCTGAGTCTCTCACATGGATGCAGGTTCCCAAGGACTTGAGGTATCCTCTATTGCTTTTTCAGACTATAAGCAGGGAGCTTGATCAGAAAATAGAGTAGCTAGATCACAGAACAACGCCCCTATGGGATGCCAGCACTGGCAGGTGCCAGATCAGCATTTTGCACCACCACACTGGCCTCAAAGATGTTTTTGTTTAGAATGTTAACATCACCCCTGAAAGAAATCCCCTAGCCCTTCTTCCAGCTGCCCTCCACCTGCAACCCCAGAGAAAGCCAAGAAGCTACTTGCTGTCTATGTTTGCCTATTTTGGCCACGGCATAGAAATGGAATCTCGCAGCCTTTGGGGCCTGGCTTCCTTCAGTTGACATAATGCGGTGCAGCATGTCAGGACTCCATTCCTTCTGTTTGTGTGTGAATTTTCCATGGTGTGCCTCTGCCAGGCCTAGCTTTCTCATTCCCCAGTTCAGGAGCATTTAGTTTATTTGCGCTTCGGAGTCTTTGTGGATGAAGCTGCTATGAGGATGCGTTTCCATATGCGCACATTTTCATTTCATGCCCTTTCAGCTGGTCCCTGGGTCATTTGGTAGCTCTGTGCTTAACTTCAAAGGAATATGGTTACATCCCTACCAACACTGTATGAAGCTTCGGCTCTTCGCATCCTGAACACTGCTTGCCTGTCCCACATGGATGTGGAGTCCTATCTCCCTGTGGCTTTGATTTACATTTCCTTTATGGCCAACAGTGTTGAATGTCTTTTTGAGTCTTTGGAGACCATTTGCATTTAGACAAATACCCAATCAGGTCCTATATCCAATTTTTGCTATTAACCATGCTTCTAATTGGTTCTTTAATGTGATGAACTATCAACAACATATAATGTTCCATCTTGGCCATTTAAAAAAAAATATGTGTTTATTTATTTGATAGAGTTAAACAGAGGAGGAGAGAGAGAGAATTTCCATGCCCTGGTTCATTCCTCAAGTGGCTGCAACAGTGGGGGCTGGGCCAGGGTGAAGCCAGGAGCCAGGAGCTTCCTCAGGTGGGTGCAGAGGACCAAGCACTTAAGCCATCTTCCATTGCTTTTCCAGGCACATTATCAGGAAGCTGGATCGGAAGTGGAGGAGCTGGGTCTTGAACTGGCATCCACATGAGATGCCGCATCACAGATGGCACCATTACCTGCTATGCCACAGTGCGTGCCCCCATTTAACCGTATTGAAGTGTTCAATTCAGAGGCTCAACTATATCTACACTGTTGTGCTTTCCATTCCACCGCTGTTTTCTGTCTATACATTTCGCTCAGCACCTGCCGTATGGACACACGCAGTAGTTTTCTTTGTGATCAGCTTGCTTCATTTCACATAATGGCCGTAAGATTCATCAACACTGTACCATGTGTGACCATGGCCTTCATAAAGGCTGCGTGGCCTTCCACTGTCTGCCGCTACCTCACTGTGTCAATGCCTTCCTCAGTCAGTGGACACTGGGCTTGCCTCCACCTGTTAGCTATTGTGTTTTGAACATGGATGCATGGATGTCTTTAAAGCTCCCTTTCCATTCTTTTGGGTGCACACCCAGAAGTGGGATTGAATCACAGGGACATGCAGTCACTGTACTTTTCTGGTATACAGCTGCAGTACCATTCCACGTTCCCACCAACACACACCAGGTTCCCCTTCTCTCACATTCTCACTAGTTCTTATTATCTGCTGCTGTTTTGAAAGAAGCCACGTAGTGAGGATGAAGTATTGTCTCACCATGGTTTCCATTTGCATTTCCCTAATGGTTTTGAGCATTTGTGTCTTTGTATATTATCGTCAGAGAAATGGCTCTCGGGCCCTTTTCAATGTTGATTAGATTGTCTTTGTGTTATTGGCTCGGAAGGGCTGTTTATATATTCAAGGTACAAGTCTCTCTCTCTTTTTTTCAAATTATTCATTTCTACTAGAAAGGCAGATTTACAGATACAAGGAAACACACACACACACACAGAGAAGGATCTTCCATCTGCAGAATGGCTTTGGGCTGGGGCTGAACTGGTCCGGGAGCCAGGAACTTCTTCAGGGTCTCTCACGTCGGAGAATCCACCTGTTCTCCACTGCTTTCCCAGGCCACAAGCAGGGACCTGGGTGAGAAGTAGAGCAGCCAGAACATGAACCAGTGCCCATACAGGATCTCAGCACTTGCAAGTGGAGTAGTTAACCACTGAGCCATCATGCCAGGCCCCAAATACAAATCTTTTATGAGATTCATACTTCACAAATAATTTTTTTTTCTTCTCTCTCTTTTTTTTTTTCTATTCTGGGTGGCATTATTTAAACTACATTTTTTTTTAAAAAAGATTTATTTATTTTTAAGGCAGATTTATGGAGAGAAGGAGAGACAGAGGCAAAGATGTTCCATCTACTGGTCACTCCCCAAGTGGCCGCAATGGTCAGAGCTAAATTCATCAGGAATCAGGAGCCTCTTCTGGGGCCTTCCATGTGGATGTAGGGACCCAAGGACTTGAGCCATTCTCCGCTGTTTTCTCAGCTTTAAGCAGGAAGCTAAGCCACAAGTGGAGCAGCCAGGGCACTATCCAGTGCCCATATGGGATTCTGGCTCTGCCGGAAGAGGAGCATTCTTTTGTGTCATGGTGGCAACTCCAGGACTTTAGGGTTTTGATGAAGTCTAATTCATCTGCTTGCTTCCTGTATTATTCGTGTTCTTGAGTTTCATGCCCAAGATGAATTTACTTAGCCCAACATTAGCATTCACTCATATTTTCTTCCAGAACTTTGCCAATTTGGTTTTAAGTGTCCGATCCATTTTGACATTACATTTCGTGTGATGATATGAAATTCACTTCCTTCCGTCTCCCTTCCTTTCTGCTACGGGCGCTCTGGCACCAGTTTTTGGAAACCTTATTCTTGAACTGCCAATCCACTGGATTGTCTCAATCTGTTTGTCAGATTTCCACTGACCACTAACGAGCAGTTGATTCTGAACTTTCAGTTCCCTTCCATTTCTCTATCTCTGTCCTTGTCCTCAGTGTAATGACTGGTTACTACAAGATCAGGAACTATGTGTCCCTCCAATTTTTTTTTTTCCTTGTGTTGCAAGCAAGATTGCGCTGGCTCCTCTGTTGGATTTTCACATGAGTCTTACAGTTGACCTGTCTATTTCTGCCAGGAGGCCAGCAGGCTTTTGGGTGGGGATTGTGTTGGCTATGTTGATCCATCTAGAGAATGCTCTCCGTATCCCAGTTTCAAGTTGATGAGTAGGGGGTATTTTCATTTACATCCTGCATTCCCTTCAGCAATCCTGGCGTCTTCAGACTCCAGGGTTTGTGCTTTATAAAAATCAGATTCCAACTCTCTTTATTCCTTTTGCCGCTCTGCTCATTGGTATCACATTCTTCCTTTCTGAATCGCACATTGCTCACTGAGGGACCAGCTTGGAGCCCCGTTGGTTTCCTTTCCGGTGTGTGTGTCTGAGAACTTGGGGCACACGTTTTCGGCCTGGTTTCTCAAGGCTGTGTCTGCCTGACTTTGAGCTTTCTTAAAAACCCAATCTTGTGTCTCTTTTGGCACAGTCGCCCCTTTTGCGCAACCTTCTCCTGGCACACTCTCATGCCCTCAGCAGGAACCTGCTGCCCAGGCATTGAGGTCACAACGCCACCCACCTGCTGCAGAACCCCCTGCACTTGGGAATCTTGTGTTGGACTGCACTTGATCCGAAAGGCATTTATTCACCTGCCATTCTGCCATGATCTAGCTAGCTAGCTATCCATCTAGCTAGCTATCCATCCATCTATATGCTGAGTACAGATGAAGGCATTCTAAAAATTCATGGAAATTAGAATTAAAAGATCCGTTTATTTTGATAGCAAAAACTTTGGAAACATACAATTCTTTTAATTATATGCACTTCCATACATGTTTTATAGACCTCTAGTATACAAGGGCTTTGTTCTTTTTGCACCAAAATAAATCTACCTTATAAAATGTATGTATTTCCATCTACTTGACCGCCAGGGGAAGACTCCAGCTTCTGTTGGCTGATTCGTTCCCCAAATGGCCTCACGGCCAAGGCTCAACTAGGTTGCAGGCAGTAGTTGGGAGCTCCATTCAGGTCTCCCAGGGGAGTAACAGGGGCCCAGGTCCTTGGCCCGATTTCTGCTGCCTTCCTAGGTACATTAGTCTGGAGATGGGTTGGGAGTGGAGCAGCCAGGCTTCAATCCATTTAAAGAAGCTTAACCCATTGTGCCAATACCTTCCCTGAAGTACTAATTCCAGTTTCCGCGGATTTTTTTCTAAGTACCTTCGTGTGTGTGTGTGTGTGTGTGTGTGTGTCTGCAATCAACTTGTAAACCCCCATAGACCTGCCTCCTCCAGAACTACCAATACGTTCTTTCTTCCTCATCTTTCTGTCTGCCTTTCAATTTGCCTAATGATCCATTGCCAAAAATAGCGGCAATCAGACATGTGCAGTCCACTTTACGTGCAATGTTATAATTATTCCCCTGCCTTAGTCTGTCTTCATAAACATCTTTAATGACTATGATATTCCATGGAGCACCTGTTCTATAAAATCTGTGATGAATGCATTTAGTCTTGAAGATTTACTTTTAGTTTTTCATCGCTATAAATAACACTGCAAAGAGCTTTGTTGGTCATAAACTCTATGGGTACTTAGGCGTGTTTCTTTGCCAGTAGAGTTCTGAATCACACGATGTAACAGTTTGGAGCTATAGCTATTGCCTGGAGACGTTTCTCAAGGTTGTGCCCATCTGCCTTGCCCATGTCATGGGCAAGGAATGCTTTTACATGGATTGTTTGGAAAATTGCATCTCATCTTTAATACTGTTGAATAATGTTTACAAGAAGTCAGTTGGCAATCTTCATTTTGTTGCAGAGTCATCCTACTGTAAGTCTATTTTACATACCTGTCTTCAGTCCACCAAAAGGGTAATGCCTTATTTTTTTTTTCAAAAAAAAAATGTGTTTATCCTTATTAGAAAAGGAAGAGTTACAGAGAAAGAGTGGGATCTTCCATCTATTGGTTCACTCCTCAAGTAGCCGAATGGCCAGAGCTGTGCCAGTCTGAAGCTAGGAGCCAGGAGCTTCTTCTAGGTCTCCCATGTGGGTGCAGGGGCCCAAGCACTTGAATCATCCTTCGGTGCTTTCTCAGACCACTAGCAAGGAGCTGGATGGGAAGTGCAACAGCTGGAACTCTGACCGGCACCCAAACGGGATACTGGTGCTGCAAGCGGAGCCTTAGCATGCTAAGCCACTGCACCAGTACCAGACTTCATTTTTTTTTCTGCATTTGATCCTTAAGTGTTAAAGAAGTGTATATAGCATCGCTTCTGCCGTGGGCTCCTTTGCGATTTCTTCTTTAACCACCACCGTTGTCTTGTGTTAGCTGTCTCCCATGTTCACGAGGCTTCAACATGCGTGTGTTCTGCTCAGTTCTCTCCCATGCCTTGCACTGTGACACTCCCGGTCCCTTAGGGTCAAAGCTCAAAGAGAGGTGGAACAGAGGGGGAAAAGTGGAACAGGCCGAAGTACCCCCATCGTGGCCACTTGACCCAGGCTTTGTTGCCCAGGATGCCTTCGCCTTCCAGGCGACCTTGACCTTTTCCATAAAATAAGCCATAGGGGTCAGCCTGAGTCAAGTGGAAACTGAAGACACGCTCAGAGGTGCCAGCAGCCACTAACCCTATGGGATAGGAGGCTGGAAAATTTGTCATATATTTCCTCTTCCGCATTTTCTGTCTGTGGTGACAGCCTTTTTATAGTAGGAAAAGTTCAGTTTCGAAATCGGCTTGCAAAAGGCCTCCAGGAAGGCGACACCAATGGGCGGCGCCAGAGAGGCGCCCCCCGCCCCCCCAGCCTTGTCCCTGACAAGTGGTTCAGCTGGGATCTGCTGGTGGGCCCCCATTTCTCCCCACGTGCTTTCCTTAATTCCTGCTCAGCTGGATTCACTCCTGCTTGCGCAAAGCGGACAAGAACAAAGACAACAAGATGAGCTTCAAAGAGCTGCAGAACTTCCTGAAGGAGCTCAACATCCAGGTGGACGACGGCTATGCCCGCAAGATCTTCAGGGTGAGGCAGGCTCTGGGGCCAGCTCTGGATGAGGGCTGCTGGCCGTGACCCTGACTGTGACCCTGCTCTGACCTTGGCCTGACCATGACCCCTGGTCCTTGTCCTGACCTTGATCCTGGCCCTGACTCTAACACTGGCCTTGACTCTGACCCTGACTCTGACTCTGGCCCTGCCCTGATCCCTAGCCCTGACCTTGATCCTGACCCTGGCCCTGGAGCTGCCCCCTCTGAGCCCTGCCTCCCGGTTCTGGCAGGAGTGTGATCGCTCGCAGACGGACTCACTGGAGGATGAGGAGATCGAGGCCTTCTACAAGATGCTGACCCAGCGGGAGGAGATCGACCGCGCCTTCGCCGAGGCCGCGGGCTCAGCCCCGGTGTTGTCAGTGGATCAGCTGGTGGCATTCCTGCAACACGTGCAGCGGGAGGAGGAGGCAGGGCCCAGACTCGCCCTCTCCCTCATTGAACGCTATGAGCCCAATGAGACTGGTGAGGGGGCCTGGGCTGGGCCAACCACCTGCAGTGCCAGGGCCAGCTGGGCTAGAGGGAAGGAAGGTCTGACTCCTCAGTGGGCTTGGGACCCCCCTGTCAGGCACAGCTGTGCCACGGGCTCCAGCCTCAGTTTACCCCTGGGTTCCGCTTGCAGGGAGGTGGCCCTGACTTGGGGACAGGGGAAGATGAAGAGATGTATCCCTTCTCACTAACCTCAGACAGGCCAGAGAGGGTGGTGGTCAGCCAGCTGGGACCTGCTTGCTGTGCAGCTCTGACCCACAGCGGCATCTCCCCATCCCCCCCAGCCAAGGCCCAGCGCCAGATGACCAAGGATGGCTTCCTCATGTACCTGCTGTCGGCAGACGGCAGCGCCTTCAACTTGGCACACCGGCGTGTGTACCAGGACATGAGCCAGCCGCTCAGCCACTACCTGGTATCCTCATCCCACAACACCTACCTGCTGGAGGACCAGCTCACAGGGCCCAGCAGCACGGAAGCCTACATCCGGTGCGTGCTGCCAGGCTGGGCTGCCCTGGGGAGAGGGGAGGCAGGAGCCAGCACCCAGCCCTGAGGGTCCTAGCTGCTTCTCTATCTACCTCCCTGTCCCGCTAGGGCATTGTGCAAGGGCTGCCGCTGCCTGGAGCTCGACTGCTGGGATGGGTCCAACCAGGAGCCGGTCATCTACCATGGCTACACATTCACATCCAAGATCCTCTTCTGTGATGTCCTCAGGGCCATCCGTGACTACGCCTTCAAGGTGGCCGTGCCCCGCCCAAGGCAAGGGGACTCGGGGACGGTGGTAAGGGGCTGGCCAGCCCTTCCTAAGCTCCCCCCTGCACCTGCAGGTGTCCCCCTACCCTGTCATTCTGTCCCTGGAGAACCACTGTAGTCTGGAGCAGCAGCGCGTGATGGCACGGCACCTTAACACCCTTCTGGGCCCCATGCTGCTGGATAGACCACTCGACGGGGTCACCAGCAACCTGCCCTCCCCTGAGGTATGGGGGTGGGGATGGGAGGGGCAGGTCTAGGGAGGAGGGGAGGGGACTCTGGGAGCCTGACCTGGTTGCCCTTCCCTCCGCTACTGCCAGCAACTGAAGGGCAAGATCTTGCTGAAGGGGAAGAAGCTGGGGGGGCTCCTGCCCTCCGCAGGGGAAGGAGGCCCCGAGGCCGCGGTGGTGTCGGATGAGGATGAAGCCGCCGAGATGGAAGATGAGGCGGTGCGCAGCCGCGTGCAGCACAAGGCCAAGGTGGGCGGGGGAGCGGCAGGTGGGGGCGGGACGCTGGCCCGGCCTCCGTGCTCTGCGGCTGCCACTCAGACCCTCTGCCCCTCTCTTTCTTGTCTGTCGCCCTCTCTGTGTCTGGGGTTCTGGCTCTCTCAGCACCTGCTCTGCCCCGCCCCTCCCCACCCTCACTCTGACTCTAACCCGGGCCTCCCCGCGGCCCCCAGGAGGACAAGGTCAGGCTAGCACAGGAGCTCTCCGACCTGGTCATTTACTGCAAGAGTGTCCACTTCGGGGGCTTCTCCAGCCCCGGCTCGCCGAGGCGGGCTTTCTGCGAGATGATGTCCTTCTCCGAGAACCGCGCCCTCCGCCTGCTGCAGGAGTCAGGTGAGGCAGCCCCGGGAAGCCCCGCATCCCTCCCAGCTCCACCCCCGGAACCCCACTTCTGAACGCCCCACGCCTGCCCTCAGGAAACAACTTTGTCCGCCACAACGTGAGGCACCTGAGCCGCATTTACCCAGCTGGCTGGAGAACAGACTCCTCCAACTACAGCCCAGTGGACATGTGGAATGGGGGCTGCCAGATCGGTGAGGGCCGGGCGGGGCAGGGCAGGGACTAGGGCTGAAGGAGGCTGGTGGAGCTGCTTGTCCCAGTTTGCAAGTCCCTTCCCGCGAAGTCGCCCGGAATGGGGTGTGAGGCTGGCATGGCAGGGCAGTGAGGGTGTCAGCGGCCGTTAGAAGGAATGAGTGATGCCCGACTCCTACCTCTAGCTCCTGTGTGACCCCCCCCCCCCCGCAAGGTCCCCTTGTGCCCTGAGCAGGCCAGTGACTGTTCTGTCCTGCCTCTATAGTGGCCTTGAACTTCCAGACCCCCGGGCCTGAGATGGACGTGTACCAGGGTCGTTTCCTGGACAACGGGACCTGCGGCTACGTGCTGAAGCCATCCTTCCTAAGAGACCCCAACACCACCTTCAACCCCCGGGCCCTGGACCAGGGCCCCTGGTGGGCCCGGAAGCGGCTCAGCGTCAGGGTAATGGCTGCCTACAGCAGGGCTAAAAGTTTCTGGGTCCCTGCTTTTTTGCCCCTGACCACCACCCAACCCCACCAAGCTCCAGTTGTATCCTGCCTTCCCCCACCCCCGCCAGATCATCTCAGGCCAACAGCTACCAAAAGTCAACAAGAGTAAGAACTCCATCGTGGACCCCAAGGTGACGGTGGAGATCCATGGTGTGAGCCGGGACACGGCCAGCCGCCAGACGGCGGTCATCACCAACAACGGTAACATGCTGGGTCCCAGCCTGAGCCTGGCTCCCCCGGGGCCTCAATGTGGAGGGGGTGTGTGCCCTGCTGCTGACCCCCGATGTCCTGGCCCTAGGTTTCAACCCATGGTGGGACACGGAGTTTGAATTCGAGGTGGTGGTGCCAGAGCTTGCCCTGGTGCGCTTCGTGGTGGAAGATTACGACGCCTCCTCCAAAAACGACTTCATCGGCCAGAGCACCATCCCGCTGTACAGCCTCAGGCAGGGTGAGTGCTCAGCTGGCTGGCAGGGTGCGGCGGAGGCAAGGCCTGGCTGTCCCCCCGGGCAGCCTGGTGTGTGGCCACCACGCCTGAGTGTTTGCTCCCGCCCGCCAGGATACCGCCATGTCCACCTCTTGTCCAAGACCGGAGACCAGCACCCGTCAGCCACTCTCTTTGTGAAGATTTCCCTCAAGGACTAAGCATGTGGGGGGCTCCCCACGGGGTCTCTCTTGAGGGGAGCAGACCCTCGGCCCACCCTGTGGGCTGGCGCTACCATGGCTGTACCAGGCCAGAGGTCCTGCACTACACCACACTGCGTGGGTCCCTCTGTATGTTCTATGCTGCTGCTCTGGGGCCAGGGGGCTGGCGGGTCCCTGGAGTTGTCCTCGGTCACTGCAGCCCGCCCACCCTCTGGAGCCAGCCCTAGATCAAGAGTTTTTATGTTTGTTGGTGTTTGTGTATACATGTGTGAGTGTGTGTGTGCATTTGCGCGGGTATAGGCACGTATGCAAATGTGTGTGCCTCTGTATGCAGGGACAGTGTGAAATCACACACACAAACACACTCTCACAGCCTTGGCAGGGCCCCCAGCTTTTACTGACTGGGGAGAGGGCCCAGGGGCTCGGGGGTGTTGGGGACTCAGGCTGGGCAGGGGTTCAGAAGAAACCCAGCCGCTTTTTCTCCTGCTGCTGCTTCCATTTGGCCATGCTGTAGAACTCCTGCTTGGATTTCCCAAAGACATCTTGGAAGTCTGAATCTGACAGGTAGAACTGGGGAGGGTGCGGGGGGGGGGGGAGGGAGGTGATGCCTGAGCCCCAGGGGTCCAGGGCAGGGGTCTCCCAGCGCCACCCCAGGTGGATCCCACCCAGCCCTCCCACTCTGTTTCCCATATGCTAGGGCAACCGGGCTTCCAGTACCCACCTCCTTGCGAGTGGGGTCCACGCCCTCCGGCAGGTTCTCAACTGTCCGGTGCATCAACTGCTCACGGGGCAGGGTCCCATTGATCAGAGAGCTGGGGCCAGTGCTGCCACCACCTGCCCTGGATCCCAGCCCGGGTTCTTTCTCTGGGCGGTCCTGGGAGCTCTTGAGGATCTGCGGAGCCAGACGACCCCTCCTGCTGGTCCCTGACCCCGCCTGGCTGGTTAGCTGGAAGCTACTGACTTCCTGTCCAGAGAGGGGCCTCAGGCTCAGGAAGATGGGGAAGAAGCAACCCCAGGAGGCCACACTGAAGCCACAGGTCCCCTCCCCTGCCAGTTGCAGCCCCTTACCCCAACCCTTCCCCACCTCTGCCGGTCGGGGACCATGAGACCACAGGCAGGAGCCCCGTCCTTACCGTTGCAACATCAGAGCTGGCAGGTGCTGAGCCTGGGCTGCCATCCACCACATCCCCGGAGAACTGGCTGTTCTAGAGGCAAGGATCAGGGCTGCGGCCGAAGGAGGGGCACCAAGTGGGGCTTGGGAGGGGCCTGTGGACAAGACCAGGTCTCCCCCAGGCACACTGGGGAGCCCAGCCAGGGCCATGCCTCTTCTGTCAGAGTCTGGGATAGACCCCCTCTCCCGCATGAATTAGGGTGTGATTGGCAGGGGGGGAAGGTGGGGAAGCAGAGACAAGGGGGGTTGTGCCTCACTCACAGTCCATTTGTAGGGATCCCAAGAGGGGAACCATCCAGCAAAGGTGGGAGGCTCATGGCCTTGCTTGACCAGCAGGATGGGCGTGGCCAGACTCCTCCCGGCTGGGTGGTTCTTCAGGTACTCGCGGCCCCAGGCCACCAATGCCTCTGCCTTCCGCTGCCCTGCAGCTTCCCCGAGCCACAGGAAGATCTGGGCCACAGAGTGGGACCTAGCTGTGGAGGGGGTAAGGGGGTCTTCCCGGAACTGACCCCCTCGGCCCCTCTCCATGTCCACACACGTGTGTGGACATGCACTCTGCGTATTCAGTCTCTAAACACGCACGGGGCCCCTCTTGCGTGCCACGCCCAAGGGGTCCCCAAGGACTGCCCCGATTGGGAACACACAGCTGACATTCCCCGTTCACAAAGATTGCCCAAGAGTGGCAGGTGTGTGTCTGGGGCGTGGTTTTCCTGGGGACAGCAGGCAAGGCTGTGGTGTCAAGAGAGAAACCTGGGCCCTGGGGCAGAGAGGGGGTGCTATGGCCAGATCACACAGGCCAGGAGGAAGGATGGGGGCTTTTCTGAGTGAGAGGGGGACATCGCCCAGGGACAGTGGCAGAGACACAAAGCTGCTCACACAGTCTCCCCAGCTACACTGCCCCAGTTGTCTCTAGCTGGTTCCATCACACACACACACGTCCCAGCCACACCCCGTCTCACCTCCTGCCAGGTGTCCAGCAACAAGATGTCATGCTTGCCCAGGTCCTCCTGGCTGAAGAATGCCACCTCTGAGAGGACCAGGCGCCCTGATGGGCTGCAGCACTCAAACAGTCGTGGCTGGAAGCCAGTCACCTCCTCGGGGAGCCTGGCAGGCAGGGCCGTACCTCACCACCACTACATCACACCTTCAGGAGCATCTCCTGCTACCCTGCCAGGCCCACCCTGGGTCACATGCCCTCTCCCGCCAGGAGGGAAGCTAGGCAGGGAGCAGGGCAGAGGACCGAGCTCACGAGCTGGCAGGTGAGCAGCACATGTCCCGGGCACCCAGTGGCTCAGTTCCAGCCTGCCCTGTCCTCCCCTTCCACCCACCTGACCCCCCGCTGCCCCATGTACAGGCTCTGCCTGCCTGCCCGGAGTCAGAGCCACACAGGGAGCAAACTCAGCCAGCAGAGGGCGCCATGGGCTCAGTGCCTCGACTCTCCAGTAATGGGGGGGAGTTTAGATAGTCCTCACTTCCAGCTGTCCTGGGACCCTCCCCAGGAGCCTCAGTCCCTTCTCCAAGCCCTGTTACCTCTTGTGGTTGGGGTAGGGGGCCCGGCCACCCAGGGCCTCCCAGAAGAGTGGGGGCTCCTGGCCCTCCAGCATCGTTTCCTCGCCCTTCTGGGAGATGACTGGCACCACCGTGCGCGCCATCTCGCGCTGGTCACCGCTGCAGCCCTGGCAGGCCCAGAGTGGAGTCAGGATCTTCACCCCAGCCTCGTGCTTTGTTCACAGGAAGGACACGACTGGGCCAGGGTGGGCGCTCCCTTGCCTTCCTCTCCAGGCCTTGGCAGCAAGGGATCTGAGATCTCCCTGGGTCCAGAGCCCAGACTTGGGGTTCAGCCTTGGTCACAGATCAAAGAGAGCTCCCACCAGCTGCCTGGGCCCTCCCCTCCTCTCCCCTTCCCCAGGCTCCAGGCAGCAGGGAGAGGAGGCAAGCTTGAACCAGGCCTGGCCTTGACCTGTGGCCTCTCGGGTCCACCTGTCCCTGTGTGCCTCTTGGGGCCTCTTCCTGTCTCACCCAGCCCTACCCCCAGGGCAGGACACCCTTGGCGGGATTTGAAGTCTGGGTCTCCTGGTGCTGGGAGCCCACCCCTGGCCCCGGCTCCCAGGCAAGGGTCCCCTGGGCACTGTTGCCCATACCTTCCCAAACCAGAGGTAGCACACTCTGTCTGTCAGCAGCAAGAAGATGTCACTGGAATGGAGGGACGAGGCCCTGGCTGACACCTCCATGGTCCTGGTGTTATGGCTGTCAGTGCCTTGTATGTGGAAGAGCCTGGTGGTGCCGGAGGCTGGCTGCTCCTTCCCACTGGGTCCCCCGGCACTCCCCTGCAAGGGACTGGGGCTCAGAGGACCACGAGGGGCCACCTTCCTACACCAGTGGGCCAAGGCTGCCTGAGGGCTCCAGGACCACAGCTGTCTAATGGAGAGTGGGTATGGCAATCCCATTGTGCTGGGGCAAGCACCCCACCACCCATTTAAGTTTTTATCAGAAAGTCAAAAGTTACAGAGCAGCTGCAAATGGACCAGTCCAAAGCCAGGAGTCAGAAGCTTCATCTGGGTCTCCCATGTGGGTGCAGGAGCCCAAGGCCTCGGGCCATTCCCATTGCTTTCAGGGAGCTGGATTGGGAGTGGAGCAGCCAGGATCCTGGGACTATAGGTTCTGTTGTCTGTTACACACGGTGGTAGCCCCAGCCTCTTCTCAGGGGAGCCCTCAGCCTGCCAGCTGAAGGCCCAAGGCACAGCTGGCTGCACAGGCCTTAAAGATGGAGGGTGAGAACACGGTTGGCACCTCCTGACCTCCAGAACAGCATGGCAAGCTGAGCTGTGCTGAGAGGGTGCATGGCAAGTGTGTGGACAGCAGGGGCACACGGAGAAGGAGTGGGGGCTGCTGGCACTGGGGCTAGGGAAGGTCCTACCTGGAAGACCACCAGCTGGCCCTGGAAGATGGCGAGGAGGTGGGGCGGCTCATTGCCCATGGTGATGTACTGCAGCACCAGGGCTCCGCGGTAGGCCAGGTCCAATTCCTCGGCGCTGTGGTTCAGGGCCTGAATCTCAGCTGTGGTGGCCTGCTTTCCCTACAGACAACAGCGTGGTGACCCTGGGGCAGTTCCCCCGCCCACCCTCCCTGTCCTCCAGCTCTTGGTTTTGAAGGTTCTTGGGACCCCCTCCACTGCCCCCTCCCATCCCCGGGGATCAGCGCACCTGCCACAGGTACAAGATGTACTGGACCACACCCGACCTCTGGTAGGTGTAAAGGATGAGGTAGCAGCTGCCCGCATACAGCCAGCTGTGACGCTTGGGGTTCACAGGCTGCCTGTGTAGGTCCTGGATGCGCCATACCTGAGGAGCGGGGGACCCATGGGCACAGGGGGCTCCTTTGCCAAGAAGAGCCCACCCACCCTGCACCCTGCCACAAAGCTCTCTGCACCTGCTGTGGTGTTCCTCATCTTCCTGGTCCTGGGCCCATGCAAGGTCCCATGGGCCCCGGGACCGCCCTGTGCTAGCCTGCTCTCAGCCAGGGACCTGAGTGAGTGTGTGACATCCTGTGATGCTGGAGACTGCCCTCCAAGCTTAGCCCTTTCCCACCCCTAGCCATGGCCGTGCTTGGGCAGAGGACAGGAGCTCATGGCAAACATCCCCCTTGCCGCAGATGGCAGAGCCTGGGCTGGGTGGGCCATGAGACCCCTCCAAACCTAAATTCTTCTCATCTGTTCATCAGGAATGCCAGCACTGCTCAGTCTCATTTGACCGTGACAGAGCAGGGCGCAGTACCCGGGGTCTCCCACCTCAGGCCCCTCCCTACCTGCCCTCCACCCCCCGGGGCCCGGAGACCCCCTGCTTGCCCTCTCTCTGTCTCAACAGCCTCCCTTCTTCTGCCTGGTCTCCTCCAGTTTGTGTCCCCATTGTCTGGATTTACATCTGAGGCCTGAATTCAGGAACTCAGGGATCTGTGTGGGGGTCCGCCCTAAGGTGCAGCTAAATCTTGCCGTGGTACCGAGCATGGAGGTGGACCCCAACCGCCACCACAGGAGTGGCTGGGGTGGCTTGAGGGGCTGTGCCCACGCCAGGTGACCTACAGGTAGGGCTTAACCCCTTACCTCCACCTTCCCGGAGCCGTCGTCCACCATCCTGAGCTGCGCAGCTAGCTCAGGTTGGCTGTATAGCCTGCCCACGTCCAGCTTTGCCTGGGTCACCGCACCTGAAGGAGGGGCAGAGCTGTAGGTGGCTCCCAAGCCCACATCGTTCGCCTCCACCACGCCGCCCCTTCCTCCAGGCAGCCTCTGCAAAGCTCCTCCGACTCGCTCCTCGCCCCGCCCCTTGTCTTCCCCAAACCCCGCCCATTCGCAATAGGCCCCGCCCCTCGTCTCCAAGTTAATTCCAAGCTCCACCCACTCCCCCACCTAGTCCGGGCTCCAAAGCTCCGCCCCTCCCCTCGGCCCGGCCAGGCCCCGCCTACCTCGTGGTAGCCCCGCCCCTTCCCTCGGCCTTGTCAGGCCCACTCGGCCCTTCTAGGCCCCGCCCACCCCTCCAGCCCCGCCCCTCCCGCTAGCCCCGCCCTTCCCGCTCACCCTTGGCGCCCAGCCTCCGGCTCCCTCCAGGCTTGGCCGCCCACGTCCGGAAGAGTTGTCTGAAGGCGTCCGACTCGGCCCCGTCGCTCAGCACCTCCACGTTGGTGTGCGGCGGGTAGCCCTTGGCCTGGATGAAGCCCTGGGGGCGCGGGCTGGTCAGGCCCTGCGCACCGCCGCGGCGCCCCTTGGGGAGCTCCCGGAGGAGGCTGCGGGAGCCTCGTGGAAGGGGTCATTAAGGCAGCGCCTGGCCCAGTAGGGAGTGACTGCCGCCGCCAGCGTCTTGACGGAGGTCCGGGGCTGGGGAAGCTGGCCCTGCCGCCCACAGTCCGCCCGGGAAGGTCTCCGAGGCCAGGCAGGTGCCCGGCCTCATGCTGCCTTCCTGGCCACTGCAGCCAGCCCAGCGCAAGGCCCCGGCCTCACCAGTACCCGGCCACTGCAGCCGGCCCAGCGCAGGGCCCCCGCCTCACCAGTGCCCGGCCACTGCAGCCAGCCCAGCGCAGGGCCCCCGCCTCACCAGTGCCCGGCCACTGCAGCCAGCCCAGCGCAGGGCCCCCGCCTCACCAGTGCCCGGCCACTGCAGCCGACCCAGCGCAGGGCCCCGGCCTCATGCGGCCTTCCTGGCCACTGCAGCCAGCCCAGCGCAAGGCCCCCGCCTCACCAGTGCCCGGCCACTGCAGCCGGCCCAGCGCAGGGTGCCCGGCCTCACCAGTACCCGGCCACTGCAGCCGGCCCAGCGCAGGGCCGCCGCCTCACCAGTGCCCGGCCACTGCAGCCAGCCCAGCGCAGGGCCCCCGCCTCATGCGGCCTTCCTGGCCACTGCAGCCAGCCCAGCGCAAGGCCCCCGCCTCACCAGTGCCCGGCCGAAGGCGGCCTTTCTCTCCTGGACACCGCACGTGCGTCCCTGCCACACGTAGACCTTGGAGCCAGCCTGGTCCAGGATGTAGCAGTTCTGGGGGCAAGGGTGGGGCCGAGTGGGGGTGGTGGTGAGCAGTAAGTGCTGGCACGCTGGGCTGGGGTGGTGATGGTGGCCCCAAGCGGGCAGCGCCCCCCACCCCCCTGCTCACCTCCTCTCTCAGCAGGTCCTGGGTCAGCGGCTGCGTGGCCACCTCCTGGATCACCAGGTCATCACCCTTCTCGTACACGCTGGAGGGGCGCAGACACCAGAGTGGCTGCCCGCCTCTCTCCGGCTCCCTTTAACACCTGCCTTCTCCCACCCCCGGCTCTAAGACAGGAGGCCTGGGGGCTGCAGCCCTGGCTCGTGACCCGGATGCCTGTCTGCAGTGGCATGGGTTGGGCCTACAGGTGCCTTGTGGATACAGTAACCCTGACCATTCTCCCTCCCTCCCGGGGGAGGGGAGGATGCTCACTGGTAGAGGCGGACGTTGGCTGTCTGTCGCTGCTCCCGCCTCGCAGGGCGCACTGCTGCTTGCAGGCTGCCCGCTCTGCGGCCCAGCACAGCCTCCATGACCTGCATGAGGTCGCTGGCTTGCGCCTCGTCCTCCACCACTCCGATCTGTGCACGGCCCCCACGCTCCCTGTCCCGGAGACTGTGGGTCAGGGCCAGCGCCTGTAGGAGAGGAACCCGGTGTCACGTCTGTCCTGCGTGCCCCAGCCCGGGGCCCTGCTCTGTCATGGCTGCACCCATGGGTGCAGGTGGTGGGGTGGGTGGGTGGGTGGGTGGGGAGACTTCCCTCATCCTCACCTCCAGAGGGCACCCCTGGGGCAGATCTAAACCCACTTGCCTGTTGGGGGGTGCTTTGGGTTGCACAGTGAGGCCACGTTCCTGTTGGGGGCTGGAGGGTGGACACCTAGAGGACAGGCCCTCCCCACAGAACCCTGTACCCCCTAGTCAGGTAGACACTGACCCGAGACTTCTCGGAGCTGCTGGCCTTGGGTCCGTTCCACTGGATCATCAGCTTGCCCAGGTCCAACAGGAAGATGTCCCCCTTGTTAAAGCTGTCCCAGGAGAGCTCCACCTGCCAGAGCCAGAAAGGGAAATGGCCACAGAACCAGGTTGGAAGGGAGCGGGGCTGGACATGTGCCCCTGTGCCCTGGGCAGTGTGGCCAGGCTGCAAGGGAGTGGGGCTGGGCATGAGCCCCTGTTCCCTGGGCAGTGTGGCCATGTGCACCCTGAACCGAGCAGGGCTGGCATGCTGCACTTCACAGGTGTGCTTGTCAGAGGATGGCATTTGTCACTCAGCGCATGACCATTGTCATGGGTGTACACATGGATACAGGTGGGCATAGGGCACACTTATCTGCATGTGTGAGTACACACACGTATATGTGGGGACACATCAGGTGTGATCACACACGTGTGTTCATGGTGCCAGCAGACATGGGGCCTTGTGGGGGACAGAAAGCATGTACCTTTTGATAGAAACAGTTGCTACCCAAAGTGAGACACTTTGGGGAATCGAGGGGGGCCCTCTGAACAGCTGTGCCAGGCGACCTCAGATGTGTGGGAGGCATGGGTGCCGGCTGTGTCATCCTAACTTCCCCTCCCATTCACGTCGATCCTAGCCAGGCGACAGCAAGGTGTCCCGTTCTGTCAAGCTCGGTGTTCTCTGAGTTTCCCGGCAGAGAAGAACGAGGGGCTGTTCTACTTTGCGCCGTGTGTCCCAGAGACAGTGTGTGTGTGTGTGTGTGTTTCTGCGTGACACTGACCTTGTGTGTATGAGATGGGGAGAGGCTGTGTGCCACCCTCCCCAACTCATGCTCCTCCCACTGGGCTGAGGGCTGTCCGTGTGTGCCATCTTACCTGCTTCGCTCGCCCCATTCTTGGGACTCCCCTGAGCCAGGCCGTGGGAATGTTCACTGCACCTTGCCCCCTCCCCGCTTGCCGCCAGCTTCCAAGTGGCACCCCTGGCAGGCCCGCACCTCGGTGGCAGAGACGTGTTTCCTGCCCCTGATGTGCAGCAGTCGCTGGATGTTGTAGGCGTTGGTCTCTATGTGCCTGTGGTCGGAGGGCAGGCTTCCCTTCCTGTAGCTGCGGAGGAGCACACAGCAGCAGTGAGGGTATGTGAGCCCGTGCTCTGGGGGATAAGCACGGGCAGTGGGATGGGTGTCAAGGATGCAGGACAAGCACAGAGGAACACACAAGCCTGCGTGTGTGTGTGTACATGTGTGTGTTCATCCTTGTGCAGAGATGTAGAAAGGGGCCTAGAGTTTGCAACATCTGTGTGTCACAGTGCAACGTGCCAGGGGTACGGCATAGTTCCGCATGCGTGGGTTCATGCATATGCTATGGGAATGTTAGGATCAGTTGCATTGAGTGGATGTGGTCAAGTGTTGGCGATTTCCTGTATCCAACCGATGTGCTGTCACTGTGAATTTTCACCTGTGTGGCTGCAGAGTGGAGCAGGAGGGAACAGGACAGTGACTGTACAGGCATGGGGCTGCTATGTAGGATCATGAGCGAGTTCTCTGCCTGCCCAGCCTGTCACGGGTCACTGGCTGGCCGTAACACTCACATGACTCCCGGGCGGAAGTAGCTGCAGAAGCAGGCGGATTCGTGGCCCTGTGCCTCCCGGTGCTGCACGGCCGGGCACCCCAGCGACTCTTGCAGGCGCTGCATGAAGACACCCACAGCGCTCTGTGCCTCTGCTGTTGCCATCTTCCCAACCCAGTAGTGCAGGTTGCTGGGCGCCTCCGGCTTGGCCTTGGGGTTCTGAGGGATCCAGAGTGGGCGCAGATGTGAAGGTGTTGCAGAGGGGTTGGGTGCGGGAGAAGGAGGATGGAGCGGGGCTGACAGGAGTCGTAGGAAGAGGGGGACTTTCAGGGCAGGGAGACCACAAAGAGCTTAGGGGAAGGCTGCGAGGCTGGCGAACGGACCCCTGACACACACACCGCAGCCACTTACGTGGAGCACGACGTAGCAGTGTCCCTCGAAGAAGTTTCCGTAAGCCTTCTCGGGGACTGGCATCAGCCTCCGGTTCTGGGCCTGGGAGGGGGTGCCCCGTGACAACTTGAAAGCCCTTCTCCCACCCCTAATGTCAGCCAGGGTGGGAGAGGAGGGGTCTCAGAGGCACCCTCCACACACACGCACACACACACACACACACCCCTGTCCTTGCCTTGCCCCCGCCCTTCTCCTGAGAGCAAGGCCCTCACCTCCAGGATCCATATGTGGAGGTCCCTGTTTCTTTCGATGGCTGGGAGGTCCTGGTTGTCATCCATCCTAGACCAGGGGGAAGAGAGGGCGGATGCCGGGACATGGGGACAAGGCACAGGGCTTTCAGCTGGAGGAGTCCCCAGGGCTCTGCAAGACCCTTGCCTGTCTATACCCGGACTCTCTCTCTCTCTCTCACACACACACCTCTGCAAAGCCCCTTTGAAATAGCTAGGAGGGTTCCAGGTGCAGTTGCCGCAGACTGGTCCACAGACCCCTCACACAGACACAGGCATCAGAGGTACCTCAGAAGGGGAGGCGCCATTGCCCCTCCTAGTCTCCTCAGGAGCTCTCCACCCTACCCCCTGTCCAGGGCTTCCCTCTGCACTTCCTCAAGGACCTGGGGCCGGGGATTGGAGGGGTGCCATGCCAGTTCCTTGTCTAACCTCAACCCCACCAACAATGACGTGTTCTCCCTACTGCTGTTGCTGCTGTGCCCAGGGGAGCCCCAAGTCCCTTGTTCCTGCAGCTCTCGTGCTGCTGGCTTCTGCGTGTTATGCGTTCTTCTCCCTGTCCCCCCCAACACCAGCCCCCAACTGTGCCTGGGCTCTGACAGTCCCCACAGGACCCTGGGGGGAAATGAGAGATTGGAGAGCAGAGTCAAGTCACAGAACCAGGCATGGCGCAGATCACGGGGCAAGATTTCAAGCAAGAACCAAATAGCAGGCACCATGACTCTGCAGCACTAGTGCCCAGGCAGCCAGTGCCCAGAGACCCAAACTAGCAAGCAGCAGGGTGTGGGACCCAGTAAAGCAGTGACAAGCTGATAAACTGGCCTCAGCTGGAAGTTAGGACTTGGCTAACTGGGACCAAGGGGCAGTGTTACACACACCCCCAGAGTGGGAGCTGGGCGGCCTGAGAGGGTAGAGACTGGGGAGATGGTGTCAGGCTGCCAGAGCCTAGCACACACCAAGTCACATGTGTCCTCCTGCTTCTAAGCTGGGGTATGGAGGTGGGCGGAGCGTCCCCTGGTCCCCCCTTCCTCATTTTCCCAGATGGTCACCCTCTCCCCTTTGATAACCCCACGCATCCCCACCAGTGGGGCCTCTCTGAGTGCCCGCCCCATGCTGTGCTTTCTGCTACTCCTGGAAACCTCCCCCTGAACACCATGCTCTTAGGGGGGCTGCTGGTCTACCTTCCTCTGTTTCCCCGCTCCCCCCCCACACACACACCCCTTCTTCCTTCTATGGTCCTCCCTTTTTACTTTCCCTTTCTCCCCAACTTCCTCCTCCCAGTCTACCCAACACAGGTAGGTGGTCCTTTTCCTCCTCCAGGGACCCCCTCCCGTTCCAGGTCTCTCTCCTTCTCTCCCCGGGAGGCCCTTCCTCCGCTGCTAACACAGGCATCCCTCCTAACACAGGCAGGCCTTTTCTTCCTCCTCCTCTCTAACCCCTACCTGCACAGGGGCGGGACCAGAAGTTCCTTTGCCCAACTTACAGGAAGAGGGAGGGACTCAGCCTCAGCCTGGGTTGGGGGTGGTTTCACCAACTGCACAAGAACAACGCCCTACCACCTATCCCATCGGTCAGTCGTTTCCAGGACCCTGGGCTGCCCCCAGAAGGCCCCAGACATTCCCACCTGCTGGGCCGCTCACTGCCTCCAGATTCTGCCAGCCACAGGGGTTTTTTTGTGGCCCACCCCGGTCAATGACCGTCCCTTTCCCTCCCACCAGGTCCCTGAACCCCTGCCAGTCAGCCCTACCTGCTGGGAAACGCTCCGGGCACCTCCACTGCCTGTGGGTAGTGCTGGACCTGGCACAACCCCTCCGGGTAACCCGATTCCAGCCCAGGCCCTGCAGGACACACCCACCGGCCAGGGCGAGGGCTGGGTGTGCAGACCTACTCAACAACACACACTGGCTCAAGCTGCCCCGGACTCTGCAGGCTGAGGGTGTCGGGCCCCTCTGGGCGGGGCTTGGAGATACAGTGATTTCTTTTCCTGGAGAGCTCTCTCTCCCTCAGAAGGGAGTGGATCGCCTGGGTGGGTGGGGCGGGGAGGAAGTGGTTCCCTGGCCCCAGACGCAAGGTGCACCAGCCATGTTTAGGAGGAAGTAGGAACGCAGGGACAACCTGGTTGCTGCAAGGGAGGGGGCCCGGGGCTCCCTCTGGGACTCTGCTGTGCCCTGCATCCCGCCCACCCTCCAACTCAGGCTCACTGGCTGGCGCAGCCCCCCTCGGGGGACCCTGATAGCATCGTGGGAGAGGCCAGCCCTGGCAATCAGGATATCTCTCCCACATTTCAGGCTGCCCAACTTTGCCACCTGCCTGTGCAGTGGGTGTGTGTGTGTGTGGGGGGGTTGTGCTGGTGTTAGAACCTTCTGGAAACCCCAGGGGGACAGCCATCCCTTCCCTTTAGGCCATGGTCTTAATGCCAGCCAGGGTGGTTGCCCAGTCTTTGCCCTACCAAGGACTGGGATGACTCTCGGAGCGCTGTGGGCTCAGACCACTCGGGATGTCACCATATGCTGCTTTAATCCCATGATGCTCCTGGCCGAGACACAGTGAACCTGTTGGACTGCACCTGTGCCACCTGCTTCTGCATCCCTTTTGTCTCTGGGCCCGTCACCATCCTGTGGACTCACATTCCTGCTTGCTGCTTTACCTCCTTCCTACTCTGCTGCTGGCCAACTTTCAACTTTCCGTCTTTGCACCAAGTTCCCTGGCAATGGCACTTTCCGGGTTATCGGTTCTGCTTTCTCCCTAAGGGCAAGTCCTCAGGCTGTACCTGAGGGGAAAGGTTGGTGGTTCCCCTGTCCCCTCCCCAGCCTCAGGCTCCTTCCTCTACCAGGGATGGGGAATGTCTGGCCCTCCCAAGGAACTCACCGGTCTGGTTCGCCTAGGCAACTGCAGGCAGGACTTGAAATGCAATAAACCTACAGCAAGCTCATTAAAAAAAAAAAAAAAAAAAAGACATTTATTTTACTTGATAGTCAATTGTTAGAGAAAGAACCTCCATCTGCTGGTTCACTCCCCAGACTGGCCAGTCTGAAGCTGGGCACCAGATGCTTCCTCCAGGTCTCCCATGTGGGTGCATGACTCCAAGCGTTTGGGCCATCCTCCACTACTTCTCCAGGCACATTAGCAAAGAGCTAGATTGGAAGTAGAGCAGCTAGGACTGAAATGCCTACATAGGATGCTGTTGCCACAGAGCCTTCACTCATTATTCTGCAGCACACGGGCCCCATGCCCCCACTTGCTATTCTACTAAACTGTACTTAAAACTCATCACCTTTAAGAAGCATTCAGCTTTTTCTTTTTAAGATTTATTAATATATTGTTATTCAGAAGGGTAGAATTTAGAGAGAGATGGAGAGACAGAGAGAAAGATTCCTCCATCTGCTTTACTCCCCAGATGGCCACAATGGCTGGAGCTAAGCTGATCTGAAGCCAGGAGTGTTATCCCTTGGGCCATCCTTCACTGCTTTCCCGTGTCACTAGCAGGGAGCTGGATGGGAAGTGGAGCTGTCAGGTCACAAACTGGTGTTCATCTTGTTAGCTCAGAGGGCCCATGGGAAGGCAGGAAATCTCTACGTGGTGGCGGCAGAAGTTCCCACCCAGAATAGCCGCCCTTGAGTCTTTTAAATGGAACCAACCAATCAGAAGACAACATATACCTTCACTTCTAGCCCCATCATCACCACTACTTAAGGAATGTGTGGCTTAGTCGGGTGGCACTTCAGTGGCCCGCTACCTTGCCACCAGTGAACCTTGCCCGGGAGCAGACCCCAAATAAAAGCTTGGTTTTATCATCAGTCTGGTAGCCTTGCTGGGATTTTTTTTTTGGTGCTGTTTGATGCATATGGGATATTGGCACTTGCAAGAGGAGGATTAGCTAATTGAGCCATCATATCCCTTCCCCACCCCCAACTGTTGAGTTTTGTGGCATTGAATGAATCCACCCTGCCGGGAGACCCTCACCCCCCTCCCCCCCATGCCACTGAGCTGTCACTCTGCACTCATCCAGCAGGCACGCCATGCCATGTCCCCACAGCTCCTGGCAGCCACCACTCTTTCCTGTCTCTTTGATTCTGGCAAGCCAGGGGGAGGCCCTAGGTCCAGAAGCAGATTGCTGTGATACAAACTAACGGCAGCCCCCCCCCCCCATCTTCAAGGGTCAGACCACCCCAAGCAGGGCTTGCCTCACCAGCACTACCCTGGCCATGACTTCCACACCCTCCAACCTAGTCCCTCTTCAGGCGTCCTTGCCCACCCAGGCTCCTAGTGGCTCAGGTAACACTTTATTTTCGCCTGGCTTATCTCTGAACACCCAGCCTGCTGGGCCAATATTGACCCAAGCAATGGCCCCGCCCCCAAATCCTACCTGGCAGGTTCAGGACACCATGTGTAACAAGGACAGGTGTGTGTGTGGGGGAGGGGGCTGGGAGGGAGGGAGGGAAGCTGCTGACTCAGGCCTGGAGCTCGCTGCAGGACACACCCTGGCCTCTTTGCCCTTGACCTGGAGGGATGTGCAACCTTTGTGCTTGGCTGCTGTGCCTCCCCTGGGCTTGAGGCTACAGGAGTAGCAGTGACAAAGTCATCAGGGTGCATGTGCGCACACACACACACACACACACACACACACACACACACACACACACACAGAGTCTAGGAGCAACTCCTTTGCACAGGTGCCATTAAAGGTCATAGAAGCTGCTGTGCCCATGAGTCCTCACTCTGTCGGGCAGTGGCTGTGACTCTGCCAGGGAGAAGGTGACCCCACCTCAAGCAGCTTGGGTCAGAAAGCTTCAGTGCCAGCTGGAGAGAAGTGGGTCAAGGTTTCCGTCTGTGGCTTGCCCACACGCCCTGGGCCTCTCAGAGTAAACCAACGCAAGCTGAACCCTGTCCCACCCGCACCAACCTGAGGCATTCTAGGGAGACAGGACAGGGTCCTCTTCCTGGTTGTGCACGGAGGCAAAGTCAAGATGCTGCCCATTGGTTCTCTCACTCGGTGATGCTATTTGAAATGTTCTGAGGATGAGGCCGGTGTTGTGGTATAGCGGGTTAAACTGCCACTTCCAACACTGCTATCATATTGGAGTGTAGGTTCAAGTTCTGGTGGATCTGTTTCCTGACTTTGGTTTTGCCCAGCTGGCCTGTTGCAACCATCTAGAGGATGACCCAGCACACGGCCGATCTCTCCTCCTCTCCCTGTCCCTCTTTCAAATAACAAAAATGAATTTTCTTAAAAAAAAAAAAAAAGTCTGAGTTGGGGCTGGCGCTGCAGCGTTGCACGCTAGGCCTCTGTCTCCAGTGCCAGCGTCCCATATGGATGCCTGTTCTAGTTCCAGCTGCTTTACTTCTGTTTATGGCTCCCTGCTTATTGCCTGGAAAAGCAAAGAAGGATGGGTCCAATTCTTCGGCTCCTGAACCCACATGGGAGCCTCGGAGGAGGCTCCCCTGGCCCTGATCAGCTCCAGCCGTGAAGGCCGCTTAGAAGTGAGCTAGTGACGGAAGACCTCTCTGTAACTTTGCCTTTGAAATAACTGTAAGCTCAACACAGTTCATTGGCTCATGTACCATGAGCCACAACTTCTGCTTTCCCCAGCCGCTGCCTGCCTGTTCCTTGGAGCTGTGCCATAGACAGCAAGACGTGCAGACCACAACGCGTCAAGGGGGCGGGGGAAAGCTGGGAGGTCCGAACCCCAGCTTATTTCCTGCCAGCTGTGTCATCAGCAGGGACATGGATAGGAACCCTTAGCCGCCAGCCACATCTGTTACCTGCATGCAAAGGGTGAGACCAGTTGGGGGTGGGGGGGGTGGGATGAGGCTGGCGCCAGAGATGGTGAGAGAAAAGGACCCAGCTGGGAGAGGAAGCTGTTGGGACCTCCCTGGGCTGGGCCAAGGACATTATCTGTAGGGTGTTCCTGTGATCAAACTATTGGGCGGCACCTCATTCTGGGTTCCTTGCTGTGCGATGCGTTATGTGGTCTGGTCTAGGGGCCTTGCATGATGGGGCAGTTTTCTCCGGGGGGTGGGAGAGTGGGACGCTGACAGTTGTCACTTTTAGGTGAAGGCTATTGGATTGGATAGGTGATCTTTAAGCTTCCCCTGAGGTCAAGGTCTGCCGTCCCACCCCCATTGCTCTAAGTGGGGATTCCAGCATATGGCATGCCAGAAGCACTGGCATGGGGCTTCCACAGCGCACAGGGAGCAGTGGGAGGGGCACAGCCACCAGGGTGAGCACTTCATCCGCAGAGACAGGGAGCCACTTCACAGGCTTATTGTTGGCAGGAAGGACATTGCCACAGAGCTCTCGACTGATAGCCCTTACCCCTGGAGAACAAGCCCGCTCTAGCAGCTGCTCTTCCCAAGTGGTCCTGGGTGGTCTACCACATTCAAATGTCCAATGGGGGGGGCGGTTCATGACTTGCCTCCCATTCTGCACCCGAAGGCACCAGCAACTGCAATACTTGGAGGGGTTTGGGTCTGCAGAGATGCTCCTGGGTAAGGGTACCAGCAACTGACATGGTGAGATTTTCGGTTGAACAGAACCCAGGCGCAGGTGGACGATGACTCCCGAACCTAGGCAGGTTGTTAGGCACAGCGACCTTCTAAACACAGAGGCACACACACGTGTTTGGATCGCAGGGCTGTGTGCAGGGCCTGGATTTTTATTAGAAAGCCATCTTCAAAACACAGGGTTGCCCCAAAATGTCCCCAGGTTACAGACCAAGCACATTTCCCTTGTATACACCGAAAGTTCAAATGCTGTAACTGTGACAAGTCTGTGTCGCAAGGGCGTCCTGGTGTCCCCAAAGGCCATCGAAACCACACCACGTCAAAGGAGCTTGCCACCAGCTGTGCCGTGCCGTGGGATGGTGATGCCCCTTTTTCGGGATGCACTGCCGACAGAGGGCAAGACCATGAGACCAAGATCTCAGAGAAAATGGAGACAGGGTGTGGCCAATGTTGTGTGTGCTCGGGGCACCAGGTTCAAGACCCTTTGTGCAGGATGCTGCACCTTGACTTGGTACAGAAAGGACCGTGGGGGAACTCGTGAGGAGGTCTGACCTTCCTTTTGGCTAACGAGTCAGGGTGGTGTTTGGGTAACATGGGGAGTATATGGTACAGAGAAACAGCTAACAGGTTTCATTAGGTTTTTAAAGCCCATCATTTTAATAAAAGGTCAGAATGAAAAATCATACCCGTATTTGCCATAGAAAATAGAAACTCCACACATTCGTTTCACTTCTTGGCCTTGCGTTAAACAACTCTATTGCTTCATTTACATGGTGATGGTTTTAAAAAAATAGAGTTATCTTGATTATGTACAGAGAGCAGAATCAAGGATGTGTTGAAAAGAAAAATGGGATTTTTGGAGTATGGCCAAGTAAGGGTGCCCAGGTTCTAGAACCTGCAGAGGCCTGGCCGGCCCTCCTAAGACACTGTCTGTGGCACTGGGACTTGAGCTGCACCCCTAGCAGCTCCACCCTGCGTGGGGCGTGGGGAGGAGGAGGCTGGCATCCTCCCTGAGCGTTCAAGCCAGGAACTGCCAATGCAGGGTCTGGCTCAAGGCCAGCCAAGTGCCACCTTCATTCCAGGTGCCTAGGTGGGGGCACCCTTCTTAGGTCCCTGAAATACTCTGCATTTTCCAACCTCTCTGTCCCTCTTCCAAGAGGAGGCCTTGGGAAGCCGACAAGAGGGGGTGCGAGGTGGAAGGCTGCCTCTTCAGAGCAGGCAGGGGGTCTGGAATGATGGCAACATGTGACACATGCGTGACACTTAAGGCATGGGGGGGTTGTCACTGAAAAACTGTTTTTTTTTTTTTTTTTTTTTTCCAAATCAGGGTTTATGGCACGTGCTGCTCTGCCAGCAGTGACGCTGAGCAAGGAGCTGCTTTTCTCTTACTTGGCAGAGTTCAGGTCACTCAGGATGCGGGATGGGGCGCCCTTACTCCCCTCTGAACGGGTCACATCTACATGCTTGGCAATCCGCGTGCAAACCACAGCACAGTCAGGAGGACTGGCAGCTGGCTCCATTTAGTGAATGGAAACAAAAAGCAAAACCAAAACTGGAATTTCCCTTGGACACCCTCCTCCCTTCCCTTACCACACACCAAGTTTCCGGTCTTGTCCATCCAGTGGGCTCCCTGGCCGAGGCTCAACCCACACAGAACTAAGGCCACACGGCCGACGCCAAAGGGCCTCGCTGGAATGACTTCAAGGAGCAATACTTGACAGGCTCTTTTGTAGCCCAACAAGCGCTGTGGCATTGCTTCAACTCCCAACTGGGAGCGGCTGCTCAGAGGACCCTGGCCACTCCTGGCCACTCCGCGCTGGGCTTCCCCAAGATCAGCTTGGGGACAAGGCTATGCTTGGGAGGAGGAGGCCTGGAGGCACACTTGGGCCGTGCCAGCTGGCAGCCAGTGCAGGCCACAGGTGTCAGGAGCCAACCAACAGGGTAGCTTCTCATAGGATCCGATGGCGATGCAGCCTTGAGAGGAGTGCCTGCTCCTCCATGGGGCACCAGCCCCTTCTGCCATAGTACCCGGTTGCACTGCTGGTTGGTTTGGCGGGTGCCAGTGGAGGTGCCACGGCTGAAGCAGCGTGCGGCATGGGGGTAGGGGAGGGACCCCTGCCTGACCCTGTGCAAGACTGCGGTTTCGCAGTGAGCGTATTCTGAGCATAGGCACAGTGGCAAAGAACAGTGTAACAGCCGCTGGTCAGTTCCATTTGGTGGCAGCGCGGTTAGCAGCAAAGAAAACAGCTCCCAAAGAACTCCATGTGTAATCTAGTTTGTTGGAAAGATCGAAAAAAAGAAAAAAAAAATCTGATAGAGTTTCGGGGTTCATTGGAACTGCTCTACCCCAGAACAACACCAAACAAAGGATCAAACAAACTAGGATGAAGGCAAAAAGTGCCAGGATGCCAGGATGCTTTTCAGGGGTAACACGTGACCTCGAGAAGTAACCTGTCACCATCAGAAGCAACCAGGGGAGGGGACGCATGATGCTTGAGTGTCGTCGAGCCGCGGAGTTGCAGGATACATTCTAAACTGGGTCAGAGATGAACGGGGACAACAGACAACACGGTCACAACGTCACCACCAGGACGTGGCCTCACACCTGTCTGGGGGGTGTGACTGCCTGCTCCCTCACCCCGCCCTGCCACACACACGCACACACACACACACACACGCGCGCTACCAGGTTCTAGAAAATTGCCCTTTTTTTTTTTTTCATCTTAGAGTATCGAAGACAATAAAAGACTAAAAGAGATCTGGAAATACATTGTGTAGAAAAATCAACTCTCAGCTTTAAAATAACATTCAAAAAGGCACTTCATCCTGCGGGGAGGAGATTCTGAGCTGGGCCAGCTGCACTGAGCTGGACCAGGAGGGGTTGCCGGGTTGTCCGCGTGGAGGGGAGAACGGCTGCAGGATCTTTGAGGGATGCAAGCTTTTTTTTTTTTTTTTTTTTCTGTTATTTTTTTTCCCCCGTTTTTGGTATGTTTTAAGAAAAAGCAAATCCAGTAAAAGGTATGTCCCTTTATGAAATCTGTTAAAAAGAGTTCTTTTTTTTTTTTTCTTTTGTAAAATAGTTGTTTTCGTTCTTAAAAAAGAAAACCCAACAGGTAGGCAATGGCCACATGGAGCCCAAGGCCTGGAGCCGGACGGAGGCCGAGGTTCCGAGTGCGGAGGTCGGCGGCTGGGGGGTGCAGTGGCTGAGGCCGGGGCTACCTATTACAGAGTCTGTGCAGCACGCTGTAGACGTCGTCCTCCCGGCTCAGGCCCTCGAAGAACGGGATGAGGTCCAGCAGCTCCGTGTCCGTCATGTCGTCGAACCACGATTGCACGGGCACCTACGAGACAGCGCGTGGCAGGAGCTGGGCTCTGTGGAGCGCTCTGAGGCCGCCCACCCCCCAGGACAACCCCTCCCCACCCCACCCCATGTCCACGTGGGAGTCATCAGCATTGCTGTCATCCCGTCCCAATCCACAGCCAGTGGTTCCGAAGACGGCTCGGGCAGGCAAAGGGGAGCATCCCCGGATTGCGAGCTTGCGTGTGTGTGTGTGCGCGCCCCTCTGGTTTTCCTGCCACAGAAAAGGCAGGTGGAGGAGGAGGGATGCATGACAACGCTGCTTTTAAGCTGTCAGGCTAGGCTACGCCCCCTCTCCTACCAGCCGGAGGCAGCTGGTGGAGTAAGGGGGTCCTGTTTGTGCGCCTAGCTCTCCTAGCCCCTGTGGAAACTTAAAAAAAAATCCCTTATCCTATGAATTCTTGGATTGGAAAAGTTCAAAAATCTCCAGAATGAGTTTTCCTTTACATCAAAAACAAACAAAAAAAAATAATATCTTTACTCAAGCTTGTATAAGACTGCCATTTGTAAGAATCGAATTCTTCATTGGAATGCATCCATGGGCTTACTGTCTGCAGTAATTGTACTTTTTTACACGTGTTTGTCATGAAGAATTTCAGTTAATTCAGATCTTCCATCCACTGATCCACTCCCAAGTGGCCCCAATGGCTGAAGCTGCGCCAATCCGAAGCCAGGAGCCAGGAGCCTCTTCCAGGTCATCCACGCGGCTGCATGGTCCTAAGGCTTTGGGCCATCCTGCTTTCCCAGGCCACAGGGAGGGAGCTGGATGGGAAGTGGGGCTTCCGGGATCAGAACCAGCGCTCATATATAAGATCCCAATGTGTGCAAGGCGAGGGCTTTAGCTGCTAGGCTACCACACTGGGCCCTAAAGTGATTTTTAAACACAGTGCTCTGGAGTGGGTTAAGGTGCTGCTTGGAGTATCTGTATCCCCGCTGAGTCCCAGCTCTGCTTCTAATTAGCTTCCATATGGAGCGTTTCCTTACAGGGAGCGGGTGGTAGCTGAGTGGCTGAATCTCTGACCCCTATGTGGCACACAAGGATGGAGATTGTGGCTTTGGTCTGGCCCGGGCATTGGAAGTGGGAGGTCTCTCTTTCTACCTCTAAAGTACGATAAAATAAAAATTTAAGAGGGGTGGATGGAGCCGGTTAGGTTTGAGTTCCGCCTCTCTTCTGTTCTGGCTCCCTGTTAATGTGCTCCCTGGCAGGCAGCGGTGATGCCTAGGCCTGGCATTCGGGTAGCAGAGCTGGATCCACCATGCTAATGGCATCCTGTCTATACACCTCTCCCCCAAACCACAAATGCATTCAGTTGTCTATCACGGACACTAATAGTATTGGGCTGGTGTGTTGTGGCACAGCAAGTTAAGCTGCTGTTCATCACACCAACAAGCCACATCGGAGCATCAGTTTGAATCCCCGCTGCTCTACTGCTAATCCAGCTCCCTGCTTAGGGCCTGGGGATGCAGCGGAACATGGCCCAGGTCCTTGAGCATCCTGCACCCATGCTGAGGACCTGGAAGAAGCTCCTGGCTCCAGGCTCCTCATCGGTTCTGCTCTGTCCGTTTTGGCTACTTGCAGAGTGAACCAGTGGATGGAAGATACCGTTCTCTGGCTCTGCCTCTTTGTCTCTCCTCTCTGTAAATTTCTCTTTCAAATAAAAAAAAATCAAATACATCTTCAAAATGCAAAAAAAAAAAAAAAAAAAAAAAAAAAAAACTTTGTGAACAGTTGGATTGGAACAGCCAGTCTGAATTCAGGGTTCAGTTTTCTTTTCTGAAAAGATGACCTTTTAGCTCTGAACCGGAGTATGGTCTAGACAGAGGGTGCACTCCAGGGGGCTGGGAAGGCACACCCCAGCTAAGATCTCTTAATGTGTCTTTCCCACTAACAACAGCCAGGCCTCCTGGGAAAAGTACATGGGCCCCTGCCATCCCAAGCAAAGCCATGTCCGGGTATTTCTGGGTCCTGAAGCCCACAATTCAAGTGGAAGGAAACATTAGGAGGAGGAGGCACCATGCGAACACAGTCTGGCTATTCGAGAATGTAAGAAACTGCTTGGTCAGGCGTGAGCACGGAGTCGTGTTTCTATTCCAAGATGGGTTATCTGAGGCTTCATGATGATTCATTCAAGATGAGCACACATCCATCTAAACCCATTTGGAGTGTTAATTCAAATCACGACTTCTCATTTAGCTAATGGACTGGTGTCTGTGGTGAATGAAGCTGCTGAGTTCTGACCCTCGCCCGGGCTAGCCTGGGGCTTGGCTCAGTTTGAGAAGCCTGTGTGTGGGAAGCAGTCTGGTGGCATCACCGGGCTGGGGAGGGGCGGGGGCACCTGCTGGGCAGATGCCCAGAGCTGATGCAGGTCTTGTTCTCATGGCATGCTCTTCGGAAGGGCTTTACTCAGTTTTTATAAAGGATGCATTTATTTTACTTGAAAGTCTGTTATAGAGAGAGGGAGAGACACATACACAGACAGATGTTCCATTCACTGGTTCACTCCCCAAACGACCACAGGGACCAGAGAGGGGATGATCCGAAACCAGGAGCCAGGAGCTTCTTCTGGATCTCCCATGTGGGTTCAGGGGCCCAAAGACTTGGGCCATGTTCCACTGCTTTCCCAGGCCATAGGTAGGGAGCTGGATTGGAGGTGGAGCAGCTGGGACTTGAAGTGGTACGCATATGGGATCCTAGTGTCACAGCTGGAAGACTAGCCTGCTACACCATTGCTTTACTCAGGTTTAAGAAAGATCCTACTGAAGGGGCTACCAGGGACCTGTGAGCCCTTGCAGATGAAGGAGTCCTGGGTGGCAGCCATCAGAGACAGCAGGGTCAATGGCACAAAATGCCCTCCTCGGGAACACACCAACACAACTGCCCATGAGAAGCCATGCAGCACCTGCTCACTGGTCCCTGGTGGCTTTCTCGCCATATGGACGGAGTCCTCCCACTGCCTCTCCGACACTCCCACTTGATGTCCCCAGCAGACTCCCCCAGAGTACCCTTCCTGTGTGGGTGGATGCCCGCCCTGGCAGTTCCCCGCGAGCTACCCACTGCCCTCGGGCCTGGGGCTGGGATGGGAGGAGGTTTACTCACTGCGTTCTCAGGATGGAAGATATACGAGGCAGGAGAATTGTCCACAATGATGACTTTGCTCAGCTCCCGCCCCAGGCGGCTCAGGTCCTTCACGTAGTTCCCACGGTGGAAAACGCAGGACTCACGGAAGAGCCGGGCCCGGAACACACCCCAGCGGTCCAGGAGGTCAGCGACGGGGTCTGCGTACTGCGGGGAGAGGGCTTGCAATGAAGGCAGGGTGCGTCTCGGGAAACTTCAAAAGGCAAGTGACCAGGGCTGGCACGTTGGCTCAACTGGCTTATCTACCTCCAAGCCCTGGGATTCCATATGGGTGCTAGTTCATGTTCCAGCTGCTCCACTTCGGATGCGGCACCCTGCTTTACGGTTTGGGAGGGCAGCGGAGGATGGCTCAAAGCCTCGGGCCCTTGGATCCTGGCTTTGGATCAGCTCAGCTCTGGCCCTTGTGGTCACTGGGGGAGTGGACTGGTGGAGCAGGAGATGTCTCTGTCTCTCCTCTCTGCAACTCTGCCTTTGCAATAAAAACAGATGGATCTCATAAAAAAAAAAAAAAGGAAAAGGAAAGGTACTTGAGGACGTGGGTGAGCCTCATGGGTGGGGTCTCCTCTGCCCCGGATCTGTACCCCTCTGCTGGGTCCTCCCACATCCCTCAGCCAGCCCTCGGGGGACTGCATCAGCTGCAGCTCCAAGGCATCTCACATCCCACCTACACATCCATGTTCCTCTTGTCACTGCCTCGGGTGGAACTCCTCACCCATCATCCCGGAAGCTGGGAGCAGCCAGCAGCAAGGGCACACCTCATATCCTGCTTGAGACTGTCCGCTGTGGCTCAATGCCCTAGAAGGTTCCCAGGCCTCATGGCTGCTGTCCCACCCATGGGGGCCCCTGCCAGGTGCTGCTTGCTGGTCTGTGGGGCTGCTCCCCGAGGGCTTCTGTGTGCACAAGACCTCTCCCCGGGGCCTCCTCCTCATCTCCCTGACACATGGGGGCGAAGCCCAGGTTCAGGATTTCCCCCTCTCTCTCTGCCACAGTTCAGGCTCCTGGGCCTGGGGAGGAGTCTGGTAGAATACTGGGCAACTTGGCATTCTCTCTCTCCTCTGTCATTACGGAGAGGAATGCCTAGGCCAGCAAAGCTGAGTCCCAGCTGCCATGTTGCCAAGGATGGAGGCAGATGTGTGGGGTTGTGGAAGCTACTGGCCGGCTCCCTGGAGCAGGTCTAGAGACAGGCAGCTGGTGCATCCGATTTCTGTTCCCCAAACTCATCTGTGGGGCCATCGGCATCCATGGGGATACAAACAGAGGTCCCCAGCCCCATCAGAGTTGGGGTGGGTGAGATGGTCAGGCCTCCGATTGCCCTAGACTCAGCACAGGTGCCAAGGGAGGGATGAAGGCACGAGGTAAGAGAGTAGGGCGGGGACAGGGGTGGGGCCTGGGAACCTGCCAACTTCCTTCAACTATGGGCCAGTGCAGACATTGGCTAAAGAGCCAGCTCCAGTTCCTCGGCTGAATGACTTCATCATCATTCCCCATCACGGTCATAAAGAACAACACCAGACCCAGAGTGCAGTGAATGTGCAGGGAACCCTGCTGGGCATGCTCCGGGCAGGGCTGTGGCTGTGGCATTGTGTGTTAAGCCACCACCTGCAAGGCTGCCATCTCTCATCAGAACACATTTCATTTGGAGTCCTGGGTGCTCCTTTTCCCATCCAGCTACCTGCTCATGCACTTCGGAAGGCAGCAGAAGATAGCCCAAGCACTTGGGTCCCTACTCCCCACGTGGGTAACCCAGATGGAATTTCAGGATTCGGGCTTTGGTCTGGTCCAGTCCTGGGTGCTGAGCTACTTGGGAAGTGAACCAGCAGATGGAAGATCTCCCTCCTCCTCTCCCTCTCTCTGTCACTAGTGAATTTTTTCTTAAGATGTATTTATTTTTACTTGGAAAGCCAGAGTTACTGAGAGAGAGGGAGAGACACACAGAGAGAATGAGAGATAGAAAGAGAGAGATTTTTTTTTTTTTCCCCACTGGCTCACTTCCCAAATGACTGCAATGGCTAGAGCTGGGCTGATCCAAAGCCAGGAGCCAGGAGCTTTTTCTGGATCTCCCACATGGAGCTGAAGGACTTGAAGGACTTGGGCCATCCTCCGCTGCTTCCCCAGGCCACAAGCAGCGAGCTGAATGGGAAGTGGAGCTGCCAGGACATGAACCAGTGCCCATATGAAATGCCAGGGCTTACAGGTGGAGGATTAGCACGCTATGTACCACGGCAATGGTCCCCTGTCATTCTGCCTTTCAAATCAATCAATCAATCAATCCACATGTATTAAAAATACGGGTTGGGCACTGTGTTCAGTTCTGGACTTGTACTACTGAATGTAACAGACCATGCTGTTCTCACTCTGAAAGAGATGAAAGTGAGGTGAGTGGGGGAAGCAATTGGCCTGGCACCTCAGGGCTCCTTAGGGTATCAGAGCCCTCGCTCACTCAACACAAGAAAGCAGGATGGGGAGGGGGACCCCAACTCTGCCCCTTCCCTTCACTCCACCCGTGAGAGCTGCATGAGCTAAACCCCAAGACACAGGGGCGTTTGGCTGCCAGTCAGCGGATGAGCGTGTGTGCGGCTTCCCCGTCTGGGGACAGCTGGCTGTCAGCGGCAGTGACTGCACACGGCAGGCAATCTCGTGGAGCATCTGAAGTGCGCCCAGTCGCCATGGTAACCCAGAAGCTTTTGGAGCTGGCAGCGTGCAGTGCACATGGCCGGCGTCCATCCCATCTGGGGTGGGAGCCTGTCGCCATGGAAATGTCACCTCTCTCCCTCTCACCAAGGGCTGCCTGAGAGTTCAGGGTGGGGATGGGAGAGGGACCGGGAGGGCAGTTTCCGACTCACCTTGGCCAAGCTGGCGGTGAAGAGCACGCATTCAAAGAGCTGCCCCATCCGCTGGAGAAACTCGTCCACATGTGGCCGCTTCAGCACGTACACCTGCAACGGCAGGGTGAGGCGAGTCCATCAGCCAGGGCAAATGGTGGTGGCAGAGTCTGGGGCAGGGAGAGGGGAGGGGGTCCAAATGCTCCCCGCTGAGGCTGCAGGAGGAGCCATGAGGCCACATCAGCACGGCAGTCCTCGGCTTGGCACTGTCACCTCACCCCGCAGGGCTTACACTCTAGAGCAGATGCACACTAAAGTGTTGAAGAACGATTATGGGGACTCCCCTCTCCCAGGGAACAGAGCCCATCTACCTCCCAGAAGGGTACGTGTGGCTTCGGGCCCTGACGATCGGATAGGAGCCCGCCAGACCAGGAGAGATGAGCAAGATGCTCGTAGGGAGGGGTAGGAGTATGAGCCGGCAGCCTGGAGGCTGTTAGACAATGGCCAAGGGAGCCCATATGTGACCAGGATGCAGGACAGGAAGTGGCTGAAGGTGAGAGGTGAGAGGTCACAGCCCGCACACAAGCGCTTGGAACAGCAGACGGAGCAAGCGGGACACACGTAACGGGACGTAGCAGCAGAGAAGGGACGGGGCCGGAGAGAAGTTTTAGCCAGAAGTGGGCAATTTTCAAGGTGCCAAAAGCAGGTGGCCAGGATAGCAGGGACTCGGAAGGAATGGGGTAGACCCAGGGTCTGTGGCGGATGCCGGGAAGGGCCAGAGGAAGCGGGCTGAGGGTGGGTGCTGATCTTGCTGGAGGAGCAGGGAGGACATGCTGGGTGCTCCCAGCCTGGGGTCCGTGGCTTCCCCATGTTGCTTGGAAAGCAAACTTTGCCACGGGCAAAGGTGGGAAGACGGGGTTGGGAACTCCGGTGCCTTCGGCAGGGAGGAGGGTCCTGGGCCCGAGGCCAGCGTGCAGGCCCGCGTCCCCGTGCAAGTAACCAAGAATAGGCCCCTTGTGACCTGCACAGCCTATCCTGGATTACTTGAACGAGGCCACGGCCTTCGCCAGGGCTCTGGTCCTCCTGCTCTTGGTGCCAGTGGATGCATTTCCCTCATTTAGGAAAGAGTTTCGACCCTGGCCTTGGGGACCTTCCCCCACCTGGGTAGCCACTGCACAGGCAGGATGGAGGCTGAGGGGAGCCGGGCAGCCGTGGCGGTGGACGGCTGGTCATGTTCATGGCCACATGGGACAAAGCACCACTTCCTCTTGTAATTCCTGCCACAGCATCAGACAGCCTCCCTTTTCTCAGCAAAGAGCCCAGGTAGTAAGGATGTGGAAGCCTTCATGGGGGTCTAGATGCCAACTTAATTCAGCTGGTGGTATCTGCAAACGTTGAATGCTCCTATGCTACATGTTGGGGCCCGGGGGGGGGGGGTTGCTTCCCATCCCAGGGACTGTCTCCTGGCAGGGTTTCTGGGAGAACAGGCAAGAAGGTGAGGATGATGGACAGGGAGGGACTTTGGAAGTGGAGCCCTCGGCCAGGAGGTGGGGGACTGGGACTCTTACTTTCATTTTTTTTCCCGTAGCTATGACCTTGGATCAAGTCTTTCCCCGGATGAGCCTCCGTCTCCCTGTCCGATCGAAGCGGTGACTAGGCCTGGCTGATTTCCAAGGCCTTGCCCGCCCTGATCCCTACACTTACGAACCCAGGAACCCGCTCATGGTGTTAAAGAGAGACATTCTGTTTCGGCTCAAGTACCGAGAGAGGGTCTCCTTCTTGGGCTGTGAGGCCAGGGGCTTGTCCCCCAGGATCTTGGAGTTGACAAGGAAGAGGGTCAGACTACACCTGCTGGAAAATATGACAGACCTCTCCCCACTACCGTCTTCTCCTCACAAATGCCCCCAAATGTCCAGGCTCATCTCCTGAGCACTTATACACATGTTCCTAAGTGACACTGTTTCTGGAAGAGCTTTATGCAGATAAGGAGAAAAAAATCCGAAAGAACTAAGATGATACCCGCCAACCGACTCCGACATCTTTATTCAGAGCAGCCTGCCGGCACCCCCAAGCTCACACTCTCCCCGCATATTTTTTTTCCAGTTGGGCATTTTTTGCTAAAGTTTCCCTGACAGGGACCCTGCCAGTGGCACTGGACATGCACACATTTCCCCAGGAATTCTGCCACAACCAGTGGCTTTGTGGCTCTCCTCCTCTGGCCTGTTAGGAGAGTCATCCAAAGGAACCCCAGGAGGAAGTAAGGACCACCGGGCTTGGCCACTGTGGCGGGGTGCGGGGGGCAGTTATCGCACACAATTTGCTTCCATTTGATTCATAAAAGTATTACCGAAATGAGACTGTAGAAAGAGAGTTCACCGGAAATGGAATCCGTCAAGAAACGTTAACCCAAAATCAGATTCAGCCTTGGCTTCTTACCTGATGTATAGTTCCATCGATCTCAACCGGCACAATAAAATCAGCATTACTAATAGGCTAGAGGGAAAAGAAACTCCAGTTACTATGTCTGAAACAGGAAAGTGAAAGTGGAAATTCGAGCAAGAAAACCATCTGAGACCAATGTTTGCTTACTGGGGAGAAAAAAAAAAAAAACAACCCAGCCCAAGGGGAGGATGCATCTTCGTTCCTTGTAATAGGCACATGTGGGAAAGAACATTTTTTTTTCGGTTCTGACTGGGGTCATGTTTCCAGCATCCCAGCCCAGCCTCAACCACCAAAGTGGGAAAAGCCTGGCACAGAGGCGATGATGGAAAACCACTGGTGGCCACCAGAGGGCGGAGCTGAGAGCCTGAGGCCAGCCCAGAGGCTCCCAGCTATTGGCAGACAACAGGATTGGGGCCCACAGTTCTGGCTGCTCTGTGATGGGTGGCCCAATGGGAGGTGGTCAGCACAAGACCCACAGGGCAGGGCCACTCGGGAACAGAGGCCGTAGGTCATGACCTTAGTAGGAGCCTCCATTTTCTGGACCTGCCTTTCTTCTCTCTTTCACAGCCACAGTCACAATCATGAGTCTGATGAGTACCCAGGGCTCTGTCCAGTCCCCAGAATCTATGACTTCAGGCACCAGCCAGTGGCCTGGCACCATCTTTTGCTCTCAGCAGGGGGACAGCTGGCTACCCTAGGTTTCCCACACATCCAGAAGTTTTCAGCTCTTTGCATAAGGTCGGTGACATTTGCCATCCCATGGCTCTTCAGCAGTCACTAGGGGACTTGTGCAATGTTCCAAGTAGGATTCCACAAATTAGCTAGAAAACCACTTCAATAGCCCCAACAGAGCCTTCATCAGCCTGGAGCAAGAGGAGCCAGTGGGTTCCTGGTGGCTGCCAGCACTGGGCATGGAGGGTGTAGACTCCCCTGTTGAGAGTCTGAGCAGGGACCTCAGGTCCATTGCCACACCCATGAACACACTGCTTCAACACACAGCCAGAAGACATGTGGGAACCTCAGGACCATGGTGCTGTTCTCCCAGTGCTCAGGCGGGGCATCTGGGAGTGCAGGTCACAGTATATTTGCTGTATTCCATAATTTCACAGCAAAACCACACAGGGATGCTAACACGTTTGATGCGTGAGTAGGGAGGGGGCACGGGAAGGGACTTGATGAGGCACTGGGCTGTGGAGAGAGAAAAGCTATTCGCCAGCCAATACCACCGCATGTGCTATGTGGCATGAAGGAGGCTGAACTCACACGGGCTCCAGCAGCCCATGTGTTGTACAGCTGCACATTTTCCTGGGGAGAGAGTTTAGTAGCTTTCAACACTACTAGACATGTCAAACAGGCTAACCCTCTGCTTTGCAGCGCCCACGTCCCATATGGGCGCTGGTTTGTGTCCCGGCTGCTCTACTTCCCACTCAGCTCCCTGCTTATGGCGTGCCAACACAGTGGAGAATGGTTCAAGTCCTTGGGCACCTGCACCCATGTGGGAGACCCAGGAGAAGCTCCTGGCTGCTGGCTTTGGAACTGCTCAGCTCTGGCTGTTGTGGCCACTTTGGGGAGTGAACCAGTGGATCGAAGATTTTTCTGTGTGTAATTCTACTTTTCAAATCAAAATAAATGAATCTTTATTTTTTTAAAAAAATCCATACCACAAATAATAGCCTGCTTGGAAATATAGGCAGGCCAGGGAAGGGAAAAATAAGCCACTGCTGTTCACAATGGCTAGCGGCATTGGTGTTTGTGCGCATGCTCTGCGGGCACCAGGGCTTGCCAAGGCTCTAGAACTCTCGGGAACCCTGGGGCTGCCCACATAAATGCTCTCTTTGTGGCACTGGCCTCCCCAGAGCTCTCCTTCAGGAAATGGCAATTTGCCCATGGGGGTAGAAAAAGCTCTTAGTTTCCCAGGGCTGAGCCGGGACCAAAGGCTCAGGACTGGCCTGGGAGGGCTGGGCATGCGTGATGTGGTCCCTGCATGTCCCAGTGGCTTAGAAGGAGGCCATTTCTCCCTGCCTCTTCTCCCCAAAAACGCTCAGATTCAATCTCGGAGCTCATCTATTAAAGGCTGCTTCTGCCTGATGAAATGGAAGCAACAGGAGGTATATTGTGATGGGAAGGGGTTCGGGCAGTCTCCAACGGACTCCAGTGTGGGGCTGCTCTGGGTTAAGTTAGCTTTGCACCACTCCATGGAGAGAGGAGCCATTCCACCACCAGAAACAATACCAGGAAAATCCCAAATCCCACACATCGGCTGCCTCTGCCCAGTTCTTCCCTTTCACACTGCACATTTGGCATCTTGAAAACCTGGCACCTATACCGCTCTTGTGGGGTGACGGAGCATGGCAAGGGGGGTGACAAGGAGACTGATGTTGACTTAGACTGTGTGAAGGAAGCCTTGCGGGACAGGGCACCTTTAGCTGTGGAGCTCATCCAAGTTCCCAGCAGAACCCTACGCCAGCCAGGCCAATGGTCTGGATGCCATGAACTCTAGGGAGAGAGATTTTCAGCCACACTGGATGCCCCTTGAAAAGGGATCTGGCAAAAGTTCCCAGGGCAGGGGGCTGGGCAATAGGCTACTTGTGATGGCTTCCCAGTGTGCCTCTCCAGCGCTGAGGTTTCCTGGGGGAGCTGGCTGTGTGGGTGCCTCCTGGAAAGGCCTTCTGGGGTGTGTGTGTGTGTGTGTGTGTGTGTGTGTGTGTGTGTGTGTGTGTGTGTGTGTGTGTATTTAGAAGTTTCTCAATGTGAGCTTTGCAAGTGAGCGCCCAGTGATCCTGGCAGCCCAGCTCCTTGCTAACTGTGTTAATACCCAACTCCTGTAGTTAATGTTCACCGGATGTGGCTGGGCTTTCTTCTCCAAGAGTAAAGTCACACGATCACAACCATATGCCTTCATCCCTCTTGAAAAAAAAAAAATGTTGATTTACCTTAAAGGAACTGTGCACCAAGGTCTCGTCTAAATCGATGACCACACATTTCTTCCCGTGGTCGAGCACCGTCACCTCTGGAAGGAGGTATTTAGCTGGTGGCTGAAGAGGGGGAAAGAAACCAAACCCGGTTATTACCCTTACATGTGGGACAAGCCAACTCCCTGTTTAGCTGGTGCTGCATTAGCAATGACATGAACAGCGGTCGCATTGAAATCCTCAATCAGGTCCACTGTGGACTTGCGCGAAGAATGTTGGGAAATAAATAGTTGGCAATTGGAGTTGTACCAGCCATGGTGCCCCTATCTGAGTGACCGTGAGGGCCGGGTATTGGCACCATGCGGACTGGGGTGAGGGGTTCCCAGCTCTGCCACTCCTCGGCTATAAGCTGTAATAGCGATACTTGCCATTCAACATGGCTGTTACTGGCCGGAGTGGCCGTGAAAGAACCAGCATCTTGGTTCACACATTTACTCAGGCTTCTGTTACTATTAACGGGCTTCTACAGGAACAAGTGTTTCATTAACAATGAGGGTTTCAGAGTTACTGCTAACTATGCAGGCCTGTTTCTTGGCGGGGGGGGTGTCACACTTTGCCTCTGTTACGTCTTTTCAGTGTAATATGTAAGCATCTTTTAGAGATAGATTAAAACCGCAATTATTTCTAAGTGACTGGCTTTTTCAGTCTTTGAAGAGACTATAAATCCATCAGAAGCATGCCATCCCAAGATATCTCAAGAATAAAGGTTACCCTGGGACGAGAACTGGTCCAGGTGCAGGGCCCGCCCTCACACCTGTCTTGGATGACTGACCCGATGTGGCATTCTGAACCCCCACCCCACCCCCGGGGCCCGACTTTGAAAGTTGTCCTTTATGACATATGTTGTGCGCTAACCAGAAAGTCTACTTGTGTCTTTGTAGTGGCTGGCCCTGACCTCGTGGTGAAGAAGTCATCATGAGGTCATAAGATGCTGGGGTCTCGGGTCTCCCGGGTCTCTCACTCAGCTTCAAGACTACCTGTTTCTAAGGGCTTCACTGAAGAAAAGGCTTGAAGTCTTTTCATTTGCTCTGCATTACAGTCAGAGTCCAGTGTTAACTAGGGTCAGGTCAGACCCTGTTTAATATTTGATGCAAAATAAAAGCCCAAGAAAGTCCCTGTCCCCAGACACCCAAGAGCAGACACTCTTACTCATCAAATAAAGCAAGCAGAAAACGCAAACAGCCCTTTGAAGTGTTTGTTTTCTTTCTTTCAGGTTTAAATTGAACGTTGGTCGATGATCAAAGTTCAGTTCGGACCTCAGCGGGTTCACTTGCGAATACAGAACGTGGGCAGAGAACATACGCGGGTGGTCCTGCAAACACCTCGACCCCCTTGGCACAGGGAGCCTGCCGAGCACTGGCCAGCAATTGCCACCAAGGTGTGGAACATGAACCTTGCCAAGGGGGGCTCTTATCATTGAGTGCTGGATCAACACGGTCCAGGGGGAAAGCCTGGCATGGTTCTACCGCCCTGAGCTCTGATCCCACGGCTCAGGGAAGGGAGGTGGCAGGTACCCAAGAGCCAGGCGAGGCCCCAGGACTTAGGGCTCCATCTCCATTATCCTCTGCCTGGCGAGTCACGGGGCATCCGATGTGGATGCCAGAGGAAGTTTCATTTCAGAGTTTTGATAAGGCAGGGTGGGACAGGCCATCTGGGAGTACCACAGAGAGGACTTGGGCTGTCTTTCTTGGGGACATGGCTGTCACTGCACTCAGGTAGTTTTTATTGTCATCGCGCGATGTGCAACCCAACCGATTCTCATTAGGAAAATTAGAGACTTGCGAGAACAAGACACAGCTCCTTGTCTAGGTCCCCGTTTCCAGTGTTGCTTATTTATCTCTTCAGACCTTGCTCTGTGTGCTTAGGCATCATGGATACAACACTTTTAGCTGTCGCTTGGAAAATCAGTATTGCAAAGATTGTTGTTTCACTGAAGATCTGTCAAAAACGGCTCAGGTTGTCTTTCAGTCCAAAGATGATACGCAGCTTTGTTACTGCAGCGGATCCTGCTTTACAAGCCTTCTCTGAGCTCATGGAGAGTGCAAGGCTATTTGACACAGGAGTAAGACGTGCGCTGAGCAGCTGTTGGCTTGGTTCTGATGCTGCCGAGCAAAGCTGAGCTGACCGGGCCAGCAGGGTTCCATTAACCTTCTGCCTGAGTCCCACATGGACACAGCTTCTCTGAGAGCTGAGCTTCAGACGGATGCAAATTCTTCAGCTCGTGGGAGCTTCTGGGGGCAGCTGTGTCCTTGGTAAGTAAGGCAAGGATGGCAGACAACTGCAAGAGAGCTCATCTATTCAGGTGAAGCTAGAATCGTGAACTTAAGTAATAAAAATAAAATGCCCTGAACCAAATTCTCTAGAAGAACAAAAGAAACACCACTCCTATCAAGAGCCTTTGTGTTATTTTGTTTGTTCACTTGTTTTTTTTTTTTTTACCCAAAGCCACCTGCTGAAATGCACAGAGAACATTGCTGGGGAGATGGGACAGAAGTTGACGGCAGGTGCAGGTTGGGGGTGGGTGGCAGAAATGGGAGGGGAGGCGTGACTTGCCACCCAAAGTTCTGTTAGGGTGTTCATTCCAGCCCTCTTCCTGGGAGTACCTCTGCAATTTCCTGTCCTTGGCCGTGAACTGGCAGCCATGAATAGTTAATGTTCGGGCTATTTCCTGTGGAGTCTCCACCCCACGAACCTCATAAATCTTACAGACTTCGTCCTTTTCCTGGTACATTAGGTTACTGTTTTTTTGTACTTGAAGCTTTCCCAGGCCCAGTGGCTGGACCCTGTGTTCCCGGAGCCGCACAGAGTGCGGGGCAGAGGCTGGGGCATCTGAGGGCTGCAGGCAGCTTGGAATCAGCTGTGTCGTTGGGCTTCTGCAATCCTCAGGGCACTGCAGTGGACACAGCCCACCGCAGCTCAAGTCTCAGACACGCTGCAAACGCTTCTCTTCCCGCTCACCATTCTCATCACATTTATCTTTGAAAGCATTCATCTTTCGGGCAGAGTGTGGGAATGGTTGGGTTGGGGTCCCAGCTGGAATGCCAGGCTTCATGCTTCACGTGCTGTCGCCAAGCCATGCCCCCCACACCTCCCAGGCCTCCGTGGTTTTTAAACCTGTTGATTTTCCGCATCATTGTCCTCACCCTTCAACATCTGGTTTTTCTAAATCAACTAGGCTATGAAGCTGCCCTGTAAGGAAGGCCCTAAAGGCAGGCCCATGGGGAGAGAAGCTGACAGACATATGCAACAAGGTGGGATTTTTTTGTTTGTTTCTAGTGGTCCACCTGAAGATGTAACTTCTAGCAAGTACACAAAAGAAGAGTCATCAACAAATTTCGTTTTAAGCCTAATGATGCAATAATTAAAATGCTAGAAGGAGTGGCTGATGTGATGGCAAAGCAAGATAATTTTCTGCCTGTGGCACCAACATCACATATGGGCACCGGCTCAAGTCCTGGTGGCTCCACTTCCCATCCAGCTATCTGCTTATGACTTACAAGGGCAGTGGAAGATGGCCCAAGTCCTTGCACTCACATGGGAAAACCTGGAACAAGCTCCTGGCTCCTGGCTTCAGATGGGCTCAGCTCTGGCCATTGCAGCCATTTGGGGAATGAAACATTAGTGAAAAACCTCTTTCTGTCTCTCCTTCCCTCTTTTTATTTTCAAATTTAAAAAATACATCTTAGGGGAAAATTCTTTGAACTGGCACTTCGCTGATCAGGTCATTCAGAGCCATCGCACGGGTCCAAGGATAGCCACAGGTCCTGGAAGCAGTGTACACAAAGTTATGGTGCCAATGGCATGTAAAGCAGAGGAGGCAAACCGCATATTAGTATTCGGCAACCGCCCAAGGTGTCTAGGTAACACCAATAAGCAATTTGCAGAAGGACAGGTATTACACACTCTCACAGTCTCATTTGCACAACCACGCTTGAGTTTGGGAAATTTCTGAAGGGATTCGTAACAAATATTGAAAGTGGTTATTCTAGGTGATGGGACTAAGTTGCAGGGGTTTTCCACTCCCTTTTCATTTTTTTTTTTTTAAAGATTTATTTTTTATTATTTTTTCATTGGAAAGGCGGATATACAGAGAGGAGAGACAGAGAGGAAGATCTTCCGTCCGATGATTCACTCCCCAAGTGAGCCGCAACGGGCCGATACTATGCCGATCCGAAGCCAGGAGCCTCTTCCGGGTCTCCCACGCGGGTGCAGGGTCCCAAAGCTTTGGGCCGTCCTCGACTGCTTTCCCAGGCCACAGGCAGGGAGCTGGAAGGGAAGCAGGGCTGCCGGGATTAGAACCGGTGCCCATATGGGATCCCGGGCGTGCAAGGCGAGGACTCAACCACTTGCGCCACCGCGCCGGGCCCCTCCACTCCCTTTTCTAGATCAATCTTTCAGCAGAAAATCAAATGACCCATGGGCTTACATTATGTTTAGAAAGCATTTAGAAGACCCAAGCCTACAGCTGTGAGCCAAACAGCATGTTGAGTGAAAGAAGTGAGTTGGAGTGAGCAGTAGAGATGGGATCTACTCTAAGTATCTCCATGCTCCAAAGAACCCTTCTTCTTTAGGGTCCAGAGGAAGTGGGAACTGGTGGGGAGGCTCAGCATCAGCCAAGTCTTCTGTTCCTGTGTTATGGCACCCTGATCCCGTTCCCCTCCCTCCAAGCCCACCTGCAGCCTAGAAAGGCTTAAGTGACCTGGGGCCCTCACTGGTGCTCAGAGGGATCCCGAGACTTGAGTCCCCAGAGCTGAGCTGGCCCCGCTCATTGGACATGACTGGACTCAGCCTACATGTGGAGGTCACTTTTTGTCCATGAGCGCTGCAAAATGCTGTTCTGGAACCTATCACTCGAGGCTCCGCTTTTCTGCAAGTTCAAAAATGCTTATGTCTTAGACCTGGCATTTCACAGGTAGGAGACAGCTGGCATGTGCTGATCTAATGCTGGATAAATCCCTCAAGGGTCCCCCTTATCCCTGACTAGGTGATAAAGGATGAATTTCCTCATTTGGGACTCAACCCCATGGACAAATGCTTTCATGCAAGATTTCACTTTAAAGATG